AGTGTGGGGCTATTTTGAGCCTTGTTAGTGGTATTAACAAGCGATTTTTATTTGTCATTGATCTATGCCCAATATACTACCGTTATACTAGCTTAATAGGCTAAACTGTTTTTAGAGATAAAACTATTTACATTCGATAATCATGAAAACAAATCTCAGATAACGGTTGACTAGGTAACAATGTGTAATTAGACCAAAGGGTCATTTTGCGCCGGAGTTCTCCTTTAAGCAGGGTGAATGATAAATGAATATAAACGGTAACTGGTTGAAGATCACATGGAGAGTTGTCTTATCTGAATGAAGACGATGACGAACTAGAGAGACTGGGAACAGGGAGGACGAGGAACCAGGCAGACGAGACGAGGAATCGGGCAGACGATTCATGTATATGTAACGTCACCCATATGGCGTCCTGTTCATTCTTCTGTTCCCAAAGGCCCCATCATGTATTGCTCATTAAAATGTAGCATATAGGCTACTTATCTACTGTTTGTCTTTGTGTTTTATTCTCGGTCTCACATTTGTCCTGTTGTTTATAGTCATGTTTCATAACTAATTAATCAACTAAATCAATTACTAATCGCTTGTAAATTAGTTGTTCTCAAACAATTCACAAAACATACATAAAAATGTTAGCATCACTTGATAATCATTTAAGAATGTATTGTAAAAATAAATAGGCTATTAAAACAAAATATAAGTCCAGCGGCTTCTGCTGCCGGAGAAAAGTCCCTGGCTGAGATGCCGCTGATGGCCGCTGATGGCCGCTGGAGATGCCGTTGCACTGATGGCCGCTGGAGATGCCGCTGCACTGATGGCCGCTGGAGATGCCGCTGCACTGATGGCCGCTGGAATTGGAGATGGAGATGCCGCCGCAATTTCAGCTTTGTAGGCCTACAGCTTATTTGAATTAATTTTAGAATTGTGCAGCACATCAGAAACTCATTTCTCTATTCTGTATTAACGGAACTCATTTCTGTATACGGAATAACCGTTTATATTCATATTTAATAACATTTCAAATTAATATTTAATAAACAGCATTTTCTGAAACATTAAGTGATATTGATTGACACTTCTTGCTGGAAACCTATAACGTTACCTAGCCTGTATCAATTAGGGATGGGACGATACACTTAAACTCACGATACGATGCACCTCGATATGCCAGGGTCACGATACGGTACGTCACGATACAATATCAAAAAAGAAAAAGAAAAAAATATTACTGTTTAACAACAACTTATTTATTTTTGTAACTTACAACATTTTTATGGTACGTTGAAGGTGGTGGTTCATGTTTGATGTGTGTTGGATGTGGTGTAAGTTACAGAATGACAGCATGGCATAGCTTACACACAGTCTTAGTCTTGTCAGTTACTCTATTGCCGTCTTGGTCTTTTTTAATGAGAAAGCCAAAATACTGCCAGACATATGACTTGTATCCAGGCGGAGCGTCCTCAATTTCAACCTCATTTGACTCCATGGTCGGCTGTTTGGGGGCAAGGCAGTTGGTGCTATGCTAATATTTGTTAGCTCGGTGTAGACTGCATTGTTGTTGTTGCAACATGCGCTGTCTTGACGTGATGACGTACCGCACCGTTCCCCGGATATAATTTTTTTTTCATTTAGTTTTACCCTGCTTGATCAGCAGATGGTGCTGCCAGCCTGCCACCATAGACTGTGTGTTTGCCCCATATACATACACACACACACATAATACACTAAATTATTTATATACCGTAAAAACTTCAAATAGTAGCCCGGGCTTTTATTATCCCAAATCGTCGAACTGCACCGGCTTGTATTTGAGACAGGCGTCTATATGATACAGGCCTTTATAATTTAGTGTTGAGATGTTGGTCATTAATTGTATAGGTCCGTCTCTAATCTCTAAAAATCTCCAAATGCTCCACGTGAAACTGCGGTCTTCCGACCTTTTACTATCGCGTCAATTGATTTTGATTAATATGCGCGAGGGAGAGAGAGCAAGACAGCGCTCGTGTTGTTTGAAGACGTGAGAGTGCGCGCGCGCGGCCGGGGCTCTCTCTCTCTGCTCGTAACGCGCCCTGTCAAGCGCAGCAGTCATTCTATTCTACATCACTCACCGATCAAAAAAGGCTTTGGAGGGACAAAAAATTTGCTTTGGCTACCGCCAAAAAGCGGACAATCTGGCGGTTTTAGAGGATTAAATACAACCCGAAACTAAAAAACAGACCCGGCCTCTATTTGAGACAGACCTTTATTTACCCAAACCTGCAGCCACACCAGGCGTGTATAGAGACAGGCGTCTATTTGGGACTCGGCTATTATTTGAAGTTTTACGGTACTACGCAAATCATGCAGCAGTGCCATCTATCTTTATTTCGCGATACATTAGGCTTGTTTGAGATGCGCCTTGCCTCGCCTGAAATGTATGCGAGAGTAGGCGGCTGCAGTGAGGGGAGGAGTGAAAAAAGCGCAGGCAAGCCGGACAGATCTCGCTTCTCGCAGTGGATCAGACACCTGTGAGATCAAAGGTGGATATCGCGGGATTCACGCTCGTGCATGGTGTTGCTAATAAACTGGATGTAATTTAAGTTTTGTTGCTTTTATATGAAAATATAATGAACAAGACACCCAAAGTACTTATTTAATTCCATTTTAAATAGGCCTACGTGTTTATCAATATTTTTTTCTTTAATACAGACATGTGTTTTTATTAAAAAAATAAAATTACATCACATAGATCGCACTGTCAGAGAGTTTGGGAATATCCACACATAATTTATACACATAAAACATGATGTCAGAGTTTTAAAATCAAACATTTTAAAAGAGAACAATACATCACGGTTGTTTAAACCAATGAGCATTAAGCTGTGCCGTCAGCAAGTCGTTTCCCATCATGCTTTTGATCAGCGCAGTCGGTGGAGAGCAACTGCGCGCGACTGCAGAATCCGACACGTGCACCTTGCAGTCGCGAGAGTTTTTTGACATACGTCGGCATGACACCAGAGCAAGGCGGACCGCACTCGGACACATTTCTAACCGGCATGCATCTCGCGCTGATCACCGGTGATCGGTTCTGCGCAGATTTTGCTCATCTCAAACAAGCCTATATTTTTCGACCTCGATGCGTTTCGTCACGTTTTGTATCGCGATATTTTGTCAAACGATATTTCGTCTCATCCCTAGTATCAATAGTCTCTGCTAGTATCAATAGGCTACTCAGAACAGTTGCAGCTCTCTGATGTAATGGAGAATCAGAAACTCAAAACTTTATTTACAAAGGATATGCTAAGTTACACATGATATATATGCTACTCTGTGGTAGCTACATAATGTTATTAAGTTAAAATGCAGTTAATAAAATAAAAAATATTGATTACTGGAGATCTCGCTGCACCGGAAAGTCGATGCACTGAGGGCCGCTGGAGATGCCACCGGAAGTGCCGCTTCGAGATGCCGATGCCGCATTTTGCGCTAGCCCTTACTGTAATTTCTTTCATCGTTTTACATGAAATTGACTCGCATGATGAACGGAACGAACAGTATGAAACAATACTGAACAGTATGGAACATACAGTATGCAGTGGCGGAGCCAGGGGGTGGCCAGGGGTGGCCATGGCCACCCTTGGCTTAAGCTTGGCCACCCCTTTGGCCACCCCTCTCACAACTGCTGTTTCTGTCTCGCTCTTATTTTTTACAAGAATTTTGTTTTTAAAACACAGAACCGTCGCTTTAAGACCACAAAAAACGTGAGACTTTTCAGACGCGCACTCCAACTTCACCTCAGCGCCAGGCGCAAGTCAAACGAGTGCGGAAATACCGAATGAGCTTGAGCAGTGATCGGAGCATAGTAGCCTATTCGATGTTCCTCAACTGGGGGGTTGCGAGACCGTTTTGAGTGAGTCGCATATGTCCAGTCAAAGAAACAACAACGTAATTCTCTTTCTATTTCGTAATTCTATTTATGTGCTGTTTACTTCCGCCTTGTTCACATTCTTGCACATAGGGATTCAAAAGAGATGTTTCCCCCCCTTTTTAATTTAGGTATGATAGAACGGTTTAGATTCTTTATTTTGACAACTAATATAGAAAGTTGAAGAGTTAATTGATTATATCAAATTCAATGAAGGTTAAATAATCTTCGAACCACAGTAGTTATCTGCATGTCTCATCCATGAAGGTGCAACAATGTTGGGGGTTTTGAGAACCAGAACCAAGCTAACTGAGCAAGTTGAACTTTAGCTATAGTGTGTGTGTACTCTTTATTAATATGCCTGGAGGTGGTAATAATAATAAAAAAGATCAAATTCACTCAGTATTCTATGATTCCTAATAGGCTACTATCTCAATTACAATTAAGTACAAATGAACTGTATTCAGTTGTGTTGGAAGCCACTAAAACAGTCCAATACATTATTTAAACTAATTTTTATCTTAAAATAATTAAGATTTAAATGCCACCCCAGACTGTTTGCTGGCCCTTGCCTGGCCACCCCTATGAAAAAATCCTGGCTCCGCCACTGACAGTATGGAACATACTGTTCCATACTGTATGGAACATATACTGTTCCATACAGTATGGAACATACTGAACAAAAACTGAACATACTGTTCCATACAGTATGGAACATACTGAACAAAAACTGGCTTTTGTTCAGTATGACTCTGCCAGTCCCAACCTGTCCCAACAGATCTCCATTCCCGAAAAAGTGACTAATTTGTTCATTGACGGGATTTCCCAGTTTATTGCGGGTTTTTTCACAAACCAGCTGTTTCGCCGGTCCGAATCTTGTTCAGGCTCTGAAAAAGAATCTTAATTTGATGAATCTTAGAAATGAACAGATTTGTTCAGTGAAGGGGGCGTGTTCGTTTAATAAGTACAGCCAATGAAATGCTGCGTCACAACCCGCACTCGAATGCTATTGGCTTACGCTATAGTCCGTCTTTAGGGCAAGAACCATATACTGTAAAAGGCAGGAACCATAGACTGTGGCAGGAACGCAGGCATTTCATTTTTAGTGCGAATCGTTCTCTCGACGAATCATTCACTTAACAGATTTGTTCAAAACCACTTTCACAAAGTAACTGATCCAAAACAGCATGATCTGTGTCTGTGACTCAATTTACAGACGTGTCGAGTCGGGGTCAGGATGAGGCTCCGCCTGTTGGACTTCAGCTGACGCTTAATGTAAGTTAGCCCTGTTAACGTCGATGTATTTTGTCGGCAGACTTGTTCAACTGACTCTGGTCAAGAAGATATATGAATGGTCAAAGTCAACGTCGGGTAAGTCATTACAAATTAGATTTAAAAGTGGTTCGGCACTTCGCAATAGCAATGGCTAGTATGCTAAGTTAACTGTAAACAAGCTGGTTGTGTCACTGGTTTCACTGTTTTGACAGCCACGTCCTATTACGTCACTGATAAAAAAAAAAAAAAATATATTTCTTTAAGTGTCAGACCATTGCTTTAGCTGCTTTTCTTTTTATTTATGTAAGCTGCTATTTTGCGGGCAGTAGCTAATACACTGACAAGCACAGTGAACTCACATTACTTCTCTAAAAGACAGTATCCATATGACTAATAAAGCAAAAAGTGGTTATTCACAAGCACTGAGTTAACTAAAAGGACCAAGAACAGTGTGAACTGAGTCAGCAAGCTTGTTTGAAAATGTCATGACATTTCATGCTGTGACATGAAAACTTGAGACATGGTTCTTGTTTTTCAGGTTTAAAGTTTATGCCAAAGTTGAACTGGTTGGTTTTCGCAATGGGTAATTCAAGTTGCCACAATACTATGAGTATACCGCCAGGAAAAGGACCCCACCATGTGGGATGCACAGACCTGATGGTGGGCCACACAGTACATGTAAGTGTGTACTTGAATTGTGTGTACATGAATTGTATGTGTGTCATTACCAGATTAATATATAGCCTATATATTTTTTTCAAGGATACGTTCTTGAGACTCTACTATCCGTGCCAAGCATCCGAGAATCCTCAGCTGCCAGACTGGGTCCCGTGCAGAGAGTATTTCAACGGCCTCGCAGACTTTATGAAGATGAACAGAACACTGAGTGAAAGAATTTTCAACTACCTCTTTGGTAAAAATTTTTTTTTTGTATGGGCTATTCAGTGCTGGGCCTTTTGAAAATGTAGTTTTTGTTGTGATACATGGTTAGCTCACCATGCCACTTCCTGACACTTAGAAATGTGGTTAAAACATTGGTTGCCACTGTTGTCACGCTATGGCCATTTATGCATGTTTGTTCACATTAGGGTCTTGTAAAATCCCAGCAGCCTGGAGTGCATCATTTAAACCGGATGGGAAATATCCTGTCATTATCTTTTCTCATGGACTGGGAGCTTTCAGGTTTGGTTGGTTTGAAAATTTAGGCACAAAAACCTGACCATTGATGCAGTATTTTACATTCCCACTGTGTTTTTGTGTGTTGTATGTTCAGGACTTTGTATTCAGCCATATGTGTTGAACTGGCGTCGCAGGGCTTCATTGTTGCAGCCGTGGAGCACAGGTGCTTGCTTTCAGTTATTAGATGTAAAAGCTTTTTTGCTTTCCAACGGACCAGTATGTTGAGATAAGAGATATCCGCTAACCACAAACTGACATGGTCACAATTACTGTTCAGAAATGTTCCTTGCCCTGAAAGGTTTTGTATGTTGTAATAGTCAAAGTGTGAGGAGTGTGCAAACAATAGTATAAACTAGGTCATCACATTCTTAACAGTGTTTACCGGTGGACTGACACATAACACAGGATTAACAGCAGCGACGGAAATCAAACTAGTGTAAACTATTAAATCAAAATGGAACAATGGAAATGCTTTGTAGTATTGCAGTTTTAGGAAACATTTATTTATAAAGAGTATGAAGTGTGTTGAGCCTCACTATAAACTAGAAATTTGATTTTGGCTTCTCTAAAACACTCACTCTTGTTAAAAATCTCAAGATCACTTATGTTTACAAAATGAATATTTTACTAAATGAAGCCTATGACTGAAAATCAGCTAGTGACGGGGCCATTTTACCATGTGTTGTCTTTGGCCTGGTGTGTTTTACTTTCACTAAAATATCTTTTCAATTTCAGGGATGAATCTGCCTCTGCAACATTTTACTTCAGAGAACACACTGAGCCGGGAACAAAAAGGCATCCGTCATGTGACATTGCCAAGCCTGTGTCTGATAATCTGGAGGAGGTTTGGATGTACTACAGGCCGTTGAAACCAGGGGAGAATGAGTTTCCTCTAAGAAACAAGCAAGTGAGGAAAATCTCAATACTCATCAGATATCTCAAACATAGTCTTCCTATGCTAATCAGTCCTAGTCTGATATTTGTAGCCGTAATCGACTGAATTTGCTGCCGCTTTTCCCCCCCGAAATGTTAGATTTTTGTGTTGAAAACCCATCAATAATAGTTATGTATTATTATTTGTATTAGTGACAATTGTACTTGTTTGTAAATAATTACTGAAATATATTGTGGTCCTGGCTAGTGCACAATTGATGAAACTGTCTGTGTTCCATGTAAATGAATCAAATGTCCTTTATGTTTCAGGTAAAGCAAAGAGCAGATGAATGCATCAGAGCCTTGGATATTCTCTTTGACATCAATTCAGGAAAGTCTGTCGAGAACATCTTACAGTCCAGCTTCGATTTGTCAACAATGGAGGTGAATATTACTAATGAGTTTAAACTTGTGAGAACAAAGAAAAGCTTGATCATATTCCGTAAGACTTTATTTATTATAGTAGTGTAAATAAGTGATGGTAATGAGCTTTTCTGCATTTCAGAATTCCATGGACTTGTGTAGAATAGCGGTTATGGGGCATTCCTTCGGAGGCGCGACAGTGATCGAATGTTTGTGCAAGGATGTCAAATTCAAGTACGTTTTGTGCTGACTAGTGTGTCCAATACGTATCGTGACATACTTTGTGTTACAAGATCTTGAGGGTAGATTATTAGCATATTTAGCAGGCTGTTTGAGAAACGATACTTTCAGTCTGTGCGGTTGGCCTTTATTTTATCCTCCACACTGATATCTGAAAACTTCTGCTAGTTTCCTGTTTTTTTTAAAGCATTTTCATACACCCACACTATTTGAAACCTTGTTATCGCTCTAAATACCCTTATAGAGAGAATCATTTACGAAAAAAAAGTTAATGAAAATATTATTTGCATTAAATTCAGAGGTGATTTTTCAGAAAGAAATTACACTCATTAGCCATGAAAGACACATTTACTTGCTGGACATCTAATTATAATAACATGTTAATAGTGCCATATAGCTTGTGAAGAGAGAGATTAAAAAAAACAAAATGATCATCCTCGCATCAATGTTGCTTCTTAGATGTGGCGTGGCACTGGACTCCTGGATGTTTCCCTTGGATGAGGAGATCTTCCCAGGAGTGAAGCAGCCAATCTTTTTTATCAACTCTGAAAAATTCCAGTGGATTGGGAATATCATTCGTATGAAGAAGCTGGACTCTGCCATGATTCCCAGAAAAATGATAACCATCAAGTCAGTAATTCATTATTATTATTTTTCATTCCCCTCCACAAAATATTTTTTTGCTTCATTTAATTGTGCTTTACAATGTTTTGGCAGGGGGACAGTTCATCAGAGCTTCCCAGATTTCACATTTCTTACTGGGAACTGGATTGGAAGGCTCCTGAAGCTGAAAGGAGAGATTGATCCATATATAGCCATGGATCTTTCCAACAAAGCAACTTTGGCTTTTCTTCAACGCCACTTAAGTGAGTTATTTACCTTTTTTAGTATGAATGGTTCAGTGTTTCAGCTCTTTCTATTCCGTTAAATCGTTTGTAATGCACTGCTGTTTAGAAGTTTGGGGTACGATTTTAGAAAAAAAAAATTAATGCATGCAGAGATGCATTAAATTGTCATTAAAAAGACATTGCAGGAATAAATAACATTTTACACTGAAAACAGTAATTTTTTTTTTTTATATATATATATATATATACTATTTGTGACCAAATCAATTCAGCCTTTTTGAGCATTTTTCACCCCATGCTTAGTGTACTTAATACTGTGAACTTGTTTGCAATATTTCATTTTTAACTTTATTTTCCAGCTCTGGACAGAGACTTCAATAAGTGGGATTCTTTAATTGATGGAAAAGATGACAACTTGATTCAAGGAACCAATATTGTTATACCACAATCATCTATGTAATCGAGTAACATGAAATGTTTATCAGTACAATGATTTTGTAATGTGCAATGCAAATGTAAATGCAAATTCACATGAAACAGAATCAGGTTACATGAGAAAGGGCCCATCTATTTTGGAAATTACATAAGAGACTTAATATTGAATGCGGTGTACGAGTACGATTGAATTTGCACAATGGATTAGATAGACCGTGATCTTACGTAAATTACATTTAGTATTTTTTAAACAGGGCAAAACTACAAACTACAGGATTTCTACCAGCTACATTGCAAAACAGTGCAATAGATGTAACACCGGTTATGTGCCTTAATGTTTTTACAGCCATGTAAAGCAGAGGTTTTTATATCAATTAAATGTTTTCAGTGAATTCTGCAATACAAGGAGGCAGTTAGCAGACAACCATTTACAAATATAAATACCATACTGTGAAATGTATTCAGCATAGCCCGTTTATATGTTGCCCTATATTGAGAATTTTACATCATAGAAAATAACCTTTTTAGAGTCTACAATCAACTCTGGATCTGTAACTAAAACCTGTGATTTCCTGATTTGTAAGTTATTGAAATCAATTTTTACACTACTCTGGTCAGTAAGAAATTTAAAAACTTATGTAGGATTTCAATATTTCTCACTGGATTCCAGTACAGCCACAAAAAATGCACAATTTTTTCTTATGTATTTGTGATTTTGTTTATTAAACATATCTTACCTTTGGTATGTGTTTTTTTTTTTTTTCAATACAAAAAGTCTGAATAATAACATTAAGATATGTTCGTATAAGTGCTGCACACAAAAGGTGCATATTTATTAAAGAAAACTTCAACCAGTTAGCACAAAATGCAGCAAATTGCTTTTTCACCACAAGTGTAAACTTTTAAGAGCATCTGAACAAATAACAAAATCCTTGTACAAAGTATAATTTAGAAATCGTTTTAGGAATCCAATAAGGAACACAATGAAAGGCTGTGTAATAAACGGAAAAACAAAACAGCCTTCATATCTGCAAAGTGAAATCGGTGAGCAGTAATAGAAGGTGAAAACAACAGATCAACTCTGAACAAGCAGCAGTGCTTACTGTTGCTACTATACGGTTTAAGGTAACAAGTAGACAACACCACTTAATACAAATTTAAATGTGATTAACAAAAAAAAATGCACATACAAAATCAACTATTTAAGGGACATCAAAGTTTACATTAGTCACGTTTCTGTTTTTCTTTTTCACTCTCCGGCTCACATACTTCTGCCTGGGATTCTTGCAAAACACCAACAAAAATGACATCATCGTCAGATGCGTCCTCAACTCTCAGGGTCAGATGAGTGACTTGTGGATCCTCTGAGTTGGTGCAATCAGATGCATTTGACTTATCTTGTAAGCCTGTGAAGCAAACTACCATCAGTTCAGTTCAACCAGAAATTGTCTCATTACTTCAAAGAAAAGCATTTGGACTCTTTATGACACTTCCATTTAAATGTATACTTAAATTACTAACATGAAGATTCTTCAGCATCAGGATGGATTTCCGTGACCATCACATCTCCCTGAAGCTGAAGTGTTCAAAGTAAAGGAGAAAATAAAATTAAGTAGTAAATTAAGAAATATTTCAAAATAAAACAAATAGGTAACACTTTACAATAAGGTTCATTAGTTACCATGAACTAAGAATGAACAATACTTCTTCAGCATTTATTAATCTTAGTTCATATTAATTTCAACATTTACTAATACGTTATTAAAATCAAATTGTTTGTTCACTAACATGAACAAACAATGAACGGCTGTATTTTTATAAACTAACATTAAAGATTAATAAATACGGTAACAAACGTATTGCTCATTGTTAGTTAATACATTAACTAATGTTAACTAATGAATCTTATTGTAAAGTGTTATACCACAAATATGTTTGTGGTTTAAGAATTAACAGTAAGCTTATAATACCGTGCCATCAGATGCTGTGTCAGACTCTGCTCCATCATCACTGGTCAGAACAATAAGATCTTCAGTAACATCTACTAAAAAAAAAAATCCATTGTTTGTTAGAATGCTACACATCCATTCTATATTTGTTAAAATAGAAGAGCTTTACATTAAACTATTTTTAATTGAATATGGAATTCAAACATGACATACTATTAAACGCCTCCGGTAAGGTATTCGTTTCATGCTCAGTCTCACATGCATCCTGTACCTATAAAAACATGATATGAGAGGGAAATACTTTCAGCCACTGGGTGGTGTAGGTCTTTAAAAAGACAATCAAGAGAAAAGACAAAACACCTTATCATGGGGAGCAACATCAAGGAAATCCATCAGTAAATCCACTCCGGTAATCATCTTGGCACAGTCTTCTAAACAGTCGCATTTAAAAAATGGAAGTCAACTACTCTTCCATGCAGATAAAAACAACAAAACATAAAACTAAAGTATGTTTTATATGAAGTATGAAGGGTAACCTCTTTGCTCTCCAGCTGAAGTATTCAAGTCATCTTGGGAGTTATCCGGTTCAGGCTGCAGTACAAACATATTTAAAGGGATAGAACACCAAAAAAAAAAAACATTTGCTGTTAATTTACTCACCCTCAGGCCATCCCAGATGTAGGTGACTTTCTTCAGTAGTGATTCATATAATGCAAGTCAATGGCTACCGTCACTTTGATAGTAAAAAAAACCTATACAGGCAAAAGAAAATTAATACCAGTGGCTCCTGATGATACATTATGGTCTTATGAAGCAAACCGATAGGTCTGTGCAAGAAACTGAACATTATTTACAACATTATCTGTAATCCAGTCTGGAGCGTAAGCTACCTGTCGCATAATGACGTAGGCATGAGAGCAAACTCACAAGCTGACGTGGTTTGTGTTTACAGCAGAGACGTGTTGTATAGACAGATTGTCATTATACGACAGGAAGCTCACGCTCCAGACTGCCGTGAACGCGCTCAAGAAGGTTTGCTGAAGCTGTGGATTACAGGTAATAATGTTGTAAATCATTTTCAGTTTCTTGCACAGACCCATCGTTTCTCTTCGTAAGACCTAAATGTATTGTCAGGAGCCACCAGCAATAAATTTTGTTTTGCTGGTATTGTTTTTTTTGTTTTTTTTTTCACTATCAAAGTGATGGTAACCGTTGACTTGAATTATATGAATCACCAAGGACCACGGTTTCAGTTAAAAATCTTTACTGTTCTACTGAAAGAAAGAAAGTCACCTAAATCTTGGAAGGCCTGAGGGCGAGTAAATTAATTTTATTTTGGGGTGAACTATTCCTTTATCTTAAGTGGGTTAATAATATTTTTTATTAAAGGGTTAGTTCACCCAAAAATGAAAATTCTGTCAGTAAGGCCATCCTTAAAAATATTCTTGTTTGCCGTAACCCGACCGACCCTGTCAAATTAGGACCGACCCAATTATTTATTTATTTTCCCTTTCAGTCCGACCGACTTGCCGGTTGTGAACTTGCATTAAGACCGACCGATTTTTTTTTTACTCTTCAAACAACTAATACAAATGCAATAAAATAATATACATTTATTATAGTAAGTATTGTGAATATAAATTGCGTAGGCTACGTTCTTTCTTTTAAATAAAAACCCGTGGCGTCATCTATTATGATTATGTTTAAAACTTTACACCATTGGTTTACGCATGTCACACTATGGCCTGTGCGTTCGCTTCGTTTCATTCACTGTCAATGGTTCGCGCTCGGTGATGATGGCTGCGGCGCGGCTGCTTGTGAAATACCTCTGTATGAGCCTACATTTAGTCGCTCATTATTCGAAATTCTTAATGGTCAAATAGGGAATCAATGTTAACGGCCTTTTCTCGGAGCGCGTCCAGCTCGTCATGACATGCCCACCGCGAACGCACGTCACACAGCAACTGCAGGCTCTGACAAACAAACACACATAAGTGTGGGAAGCCAAACACACCGAAAGGGGGACGAAACGGCGCGGTGTGTTACAGAGTTCGCGCTGCGCTGACTTGTAATCAGTGGCGGACAGAGTACAGAGCTTTGTTACTTGAGTAAAATTTAGCAAGGGGTATCTGTACTTTTACTCAAGTACAAGTAAAAGTACTACATTCAGATGTCTACTTAAGTAAAAGTACTAAAGTACTTTTTTTTTTAAAGTACTTGAGTATCAAGAGTACAAGAGTAGATTTTCTAAATATTGCATTACTAATCTACTGCCACAGTGCTTACATTTATGCACAGAAACGTCCTACATGGAGTTATGAAAAATGTTAATGTTAATACCTTGGGAGAATGTAAAAGGAATTGAAAGTAAAATAAAGCAACATGGTAAAAATATGAAAATATCTTGATTTAATTTAATTTAATTTTTTGGGGGTCCCATCTTTAAATGCGGGGACAACACACACACACCACATGTAAGGGTGGCGCTGCCAATAAAGCACCTAAAAGCTGTCACAAAGAACCGGCAAAAGGAATGATTATGAATATGTAAAATATAGCAAGGAGATATTTTAATTGTTTATTAATAAACATGTTAATAAACAAGTGTTTTCTTTGTCAGTGTCGGCTAGATGAAGTTGACGATGCTGACTCGCGATCTTCAGTAGTGAACGCGCCAGAGAGAAATGCACATTTCATACGGATTACATAAGCAGAGAGCAATCTGTAGTCTGTTTTCTTTCGTTTAGAATTTTTCTGTTTAAAAGTAGACATATCTGTGAGAGGCAAATAGGCTACCTTATACACTGAGTTTCGGTTCATTTATGAGACGAGATCCAGTTCACGTGCCGGCGCCTCCGTTTCTTATCTATCGTCTGCTATTTTCTTCTTATTTATTAAACCCAGGCAATTGGTTGATGAAATATTTATTAAAATTAAGTAGTGCTGGGCAACGATTAAAAATTTTTATCGCGATTAATCGGATGATTTTCTTGCGATTAATCGCGATTGATCGCATTGTTACGCGCAAAATTGAATAATGAATTCTAAAGTAGTGTATTGCGCACTTTTGATTTAAATGTACTGCTACAAAAGTTCAATAACATGTGGTTTGCAAAAACTTTAAACAAATAAGGTGCTTTTATACCAGCAGTATTCCCTTTACACAGTATCAATAAAATATTTCTTGTAAATCTCAACTTAAACATTAAATGTAATCAAATCAAATATTTAAACAAAGCTATTTGCCACTGCATTACCTTTTATCTAGCTTGTTAAAACGAGTCCAGTTTTCTTGTTTTTGTTTTTTTTCTGAACAGGTATTTTGTATCAGGGAGCAGCAGAAACAGTCTATGTAGTCAAAGGGTCATGATCACTACTACAGATATAAGTCGACCAACGTTACTTCTCTGATAGCAGCTTAGGTTTGGTCATGGCATGCCATGGTTTCCCACGTAAGATTACATTAAACAGAGGTAAAGCCCAATTTATACTTCTGCGTCAAACTCACGCCGTAGCTGCGTAGCGCGCGTACCCTGACGTGCATCTCTCCAAAAATGTAACGTCAATTCTACGCGTACCGCAAGCGCTGTGATTGCTAGAACCGCTCCCCGGGTTTCACACTCTCCCTCTGCATGTGTAATTGCGCGTCAACGCGGACAACGACGCAGATATAAATGAAAACCAACGCGTAGTCTATAGCGTAGAGGCTACGCCGTAGGTCCGACGCAGAAGTAAATCAGCCTAGAGTGAGGTGAAGTGGTCGAGCACAGGTGCAGCGACAAGCGGGTGCGTTCCTGTGAAACTGTTGCGGTCATGCTCGCCTCACGCACGCGCCCGCGCGTTGCCGAAGTTGAATAGTCTAACTTTTTGTACACGACGCGCAGCACAAATCATTGGAAGAGAGATTGATCCTCGGCTCGCTGTTTGTGAGTTTCCAGAATCTAAATAGTTATCAGGACATCAACAGGAGGGAATTCACATGGCAGAGCATCCCCGCTAAACTAAACGCAGGCCTATCAGGTAAAGTTATGTTTAATTTTAATTTAAGTTAAAAAGGCTACAGCTGCGTAGCGCACAGAAGCCGTTGCCATGGTTACTATCCATAGAGCGCCTGTCATTCACTCGCGGAGCGCTGTCTCCCTTTCTGTTCACCTGAGAGAACCTGCCAAAACCTCTCCACTGCTTGTTTGGGTGGGTTATTTGCTGGCTGACCAACATTCCACCCCTCCTGTGATCATGGTTTGACTGTAGGCCTATGTGTATTCAGAGCCAGTGAGCAACGGACTTTCAAAATAATAATAATAAAAAAAACTGCGTTAACGCGCGATAAAAAAATTGTCGGCATTAATTAATAAATGCGTTAACGCGATAATAACGCGTTAACTTGCCCAGCACTAAAATTAAGATACAATTAATGCAAAACGAAATTCAGGTTAAAGAAAGGTTTTGTGTTTTCTGTTTGATGTCTCTGTGAAAGTTTTAAAGCATTTTTTATGCCGCTTTCAGAGCGCTCACTTCCGTAACGGAGAACACGTCCATAACATTGTTTTTTCCTCATAAATGCAAACCCGAAAAATAAAATAAAACAAAATTAATATTTTATGTACTGTGGAGACTGAGCGCCAACCCTTCTTCATTCGCTGGGTAGTAGCCTACTTTGGTTTGCGCAGTGTAATTCACATAATCAGTAAAAATATATTTTGCCTCCTAAAGTTTTTTTTTTAAGAAATCAGAAATCCCTCGTGGCTACGCCACTGCCACATTTGAACCTGACTGTGTTAAACACACCACATACTCAAGAACATCAAACCAAATGCTTGGCTTACATTAATGTGTAATATAAAATCTGACCATGGAGTTGACTTTGGCGGAAAGCTGAAAGTGATTGCTGATAGGCTGTCCCAATCAGTGGCGCCTACACAATCCAATCACGTTTGAGAGGGAAACAACAAATTGAGGGTTTCCGAGATTTTTTTTTTTTTTTACTCCTGTACTCACGGTTATGGATAGAAATGTATTGGAGTAAAGTGTACAATATTTGCCTCTCAAATGTACTTGAGTAAAGTCATGAGTACTCCCCAAAAATGATACTCGAGTAAAGTACAGATCCCTCAAAATTGTACTTAAGTACTGTACTCAAGTAAATGTACTCCGTTACTGTCCGGCTCTGCTTGTAATCTGCGTGGCTCAATGGACTGAGACGCGCGAGCGCGACAGACTCGACAGCGCAGGAGAAGTGTTTGCTTGCGGCAGCCAATAGTCAGAGCGGCGGGAACTAATCTCACCAGCGCCACGCTGACCAATAAAACAGCACATCCCATACCGAAATGTACTAAATTGCACAAAAGAAAATCGACCATTCCATAATATGTCAGGACTACTTAATCGGCCTATAGTTTCCTACAATGCGCCTAGCTATTTGACCACACTGATTTCCGTTAATAATAGCAGATGTTTATGGGTCAAATCTCTCACTCTCTCCCTGCAACTTTTTGTTACCCTCCTTTCCTGCCCCTAGACCAGAAAGGGGGCTTGTAACAGTATGGGTCAAATGTAAACGAATGGTGCCAAACGCGCTGTTTTATTGGTCGGCGCGGCGCTGGTGAGATTAGTCATTTTAATTTATTTGTTTCCCTCTGAAAATCCACTTTCATTGAAATCTAGTGGCTTTTTTTTTTTTTTTGCATGTTACTGCAAACCAAAATATTTTTAAGGATGGCCTAATTACTCACCCTCATGTCGGTCCAAACCCATAAGACCTTCGTTCATCTTTGATATCAAAAATATCTTAATTTGTGTAACCTCCATAGACAGCAACGTCATTGCAAAGTAGTAAAGACATCGTTAAAATAGTCCATGTGACTACAGGGGTTCAACCTTAATATTATGAAGCGGCGAGAATACTTGAGCGAAAAAAAAGAAAAGAAAAAAAAAAAGACTTCATTCAACAATTTCTTCTCTTCGGTGTCAGATCTCCTATGCTTTGTGTAAACAACAGTACAGTAAACAGTACAGCTCTTCCAGGTTCTACGTCAGAATGCAGGCTCACTATTGGCCAGCTCCTAAATCAGCATCACACGCATGTCACACTGCGGTTACAATGCGAATAGCATAGGAGATCTGACACAGAAGAGAAAAAATTGTTAAATAAAGTTATTTTTGTGCACAAAATGAATTCTCATCGCTTCATAAAATTAAGGTTGAACCACTGTAGTCACATGGACTATTTTAACGATTTCTTTACTACCTTTGTGGGCCTTGAAAGTTGAAATGCCGTTGCTGTCTTCCAAACCTCAGAACGTTCAGAAACCTCTCGGATTTCATCAAAAAGATCTTAATTTGTTTTCCGAAGATGAACGAAGGTCTTGCGGGTTTGGAACGACACGAGGGTAAGTAATTAATGACAGAATGTGTATAATATGTGTACTTACACTCAGAACTTGAACAAGTGCACCTTCCCCCAATGCATCTTCAACTAAACACAAACAAGAAATACAGTCTTTAAATGCATTCAGATCTAAGATACTCGCATCAAAACTTTTCACAATGACGTTATATTTCAATGTCTTACAATATAAAGATATTCATATTTCAATGTCTTACAATATAAAGATATCAATTTTTTAATAAAGTGCAGATTTAATAGATTTAAAGGGATAATTCACCCAAAAATCATTTACTCACCCTAATGTCGTTCCAAACCCGTACGATTTCATTCATCTTTGGAACACAAATGAAGATCTTTCTTTCCCTCCATTGACAGCTACGGAACTACCACTTTGACATCAAAAAGTTCATAAAGAGATCGTAAAACTAATTCATATGAATTGAGCGGTTTGTCCAAATTTTCTGAGGAGACACAATCGCATCATGATTAACAGTTTCAATTTAGGCTTTTATTCACATATAAACAATCAACGCACATATTAGTTATGATAAACGGAACCAATGAGGTTCATTCTCGTTAGGGATGGTACCGGCTCCGATACTGCCATTTTTGCCGGATCGGGTATCGATCAGACGAGGCCGATCCAAATCCGATATTGTGCGTATACTATTCTGTGTTATTGTTAAGCCCCACAAAAGGCACAAAAACAAAGCACCATAAAGTTTTCGTGCAAGTGTTCTGAAGCCATTATATAGTATAATGTGAGATAGAAATTAATATTTAAGTCATTAAATTCAAGATCACGTAAACTTTTCCCTCCGTTGCGGCTATCAATCATTCTTCATTCATCATTTAACAGCGGGTCCCGTTCGGTTACGACAGTCAACACGATGAAACTCTCCAAGATGATTCAATGTTACTATTATTATACTTGATCTGTAGATAAAGGTCTATGGTTTCGCATAAAACAATTTTATCTTGCTGGACTTTATTGCTGTAACTTAATCATGTTACTTTCTACCGGGTGTCGGTTAGATCACAACACTAGAGTTAGAGTCAGAGCACTATAATTGTTCTTCACGTGCACAGTAACTGACATTTAAAACTGTTAAAAGAAAAGACTCAAACTATTGCATAGATAGATAATGTATAATACACTCCGCATCAATATGCATTTCCTTTGTGCTTTGAACTTTTCAATGCGGACTCGACGCGCTGCGAGTCCATGTTGCTTCAAGCGCATCATTCTGCGCTCGGGATGCGCATAAGCGCTGTGTGCAGCACTGTATTGGAGCCTTTCATATCATAATACAGTGACGCAATGAAAGATTATTAATAGCCTTTCTTGTTCTGTCCTATCTATCATATGTTGCTGCCTCATTAAACAGCTGTGCATTTAAAACATGTCTCAATTTTAGTTGCCTAGGCTATATCTAAAATAATTTATCTTTCTGATTTTTGTTATCTTGTTTATCATGAATGTATTTTACAACAATACAAAGAGCAATGTGTAACGTTTTACCAGATTTAGTCTTACACTTATTGTCTCTTATTTGTTCCCCACTAAATGTTTTTTTCACTAAATGTTCAGATTTTATACAATAATTGTGCACTCATAATTTTTTCTAGACTAAATTTTACTGCTGAATTATCCACTAATCTAGTTTATAATAGCATTTTTGTCAGATTATGATGATATTTTTTTTTTTATTTGTTGTTTTTCTTTATAATGAAGTTGTCTGTATTAAGTAGATTGTGTTGAACTGATATTCACTCTTTTGTGTGTTAAACACAGAGTTATAGAAATTCTAATTGTAAAAAAAAAGAAAGAAAAAGCGCTGGTATCGGATCGGTATTGGTCGATACTCCGAATTTTTGGTATCGGATCGGATCGATTCTGAAAAAGATGGTATCGGTGCATCCCTAATTCTCGTGTTTCGCATTTTCTTCTATGAAGTTGAAGGGGGAAAGGAGCTGGACAAGAGCCACACTATTTGTAAGTTTTGTAAAATAAAACTAAAATATTTCAGAAACATGATGAAGCCATATGACACGTTTCCACCCAGAGGAGGAAAAACACTCGGCTGTACCGGTCGTTGTTATATTATTAATTTACTAACATTACAAGTATGCTGCTAGTTCAGGCACACATTTATTTTCCTGTTGGTTATTTGCAATGTTAATAAAATATATTGTATGTTAATTCTTTATGGGTCATTAGTTTGTACTTTTAAAGCAAAGTATTTATAGTCACACACAGGCACACAAAAAGATTCAGATAATCGATAATCGCTTTAGCATCAAATCGCAGCCCTCTGAATCGTAATCGAGAGATTCCCACCCCTACAATTCATATGGATTAGTTTTATGATCGCTTTATGAACTTTTTAAAGCGTCAAAGTGGTAGTTGCGTAGCTGTCAATAGATACAGAAATCTCTCAGATTTAATAAAACTATCTTCATTTGTGTTCTGAAGACGAACAAAAGTCTTATGGGTTTGGAACAACATGCAGTTGAGTAAATTACAATTTTCATATTTGGGTGAACAAACTCTTTTAAGAATTATTTTATAGAAACAGACATTATACAAACTATAGAACATTCATAGAATAAGTGTACTATGCACTTCGTAATAACTGAAGTACCAATACTTTTTAATAAATGGGTATATCAAGCAAGCTCACTTACCCTCAGAATCTTCAACCAAAACAATGGAGCAGGACACAGACCCCTTGTCTTGAGGCTGCATTTATTTACATGAACATGTTGAGACTTTAAGCCATCTGATTACTGTCATTCAATTGCTTTTGATTGGTAAAAAAAGCATCACACTGTACCTGGTCTGCAAGTTCATCACCTGGATCCATTTGGTCAATGAGCGTTTCCTCTTCATCTTGACATAATTAAAAATGCTATTTTGAACTAAATTTTGCACCATAGTATAAAATAGTAATGCAAGTATATAGCTTTTTCGTCATTTCCTTAGTGGTATGTGATGCAATAATTCTGTAAATAGGTATATAAACTCGTACCATTTGGTTTTTCAGACTCCAAAGCGACTGTAGTTCCATATTCTGCATCTTCGTCCTGATGTATATAGAGATACAATTGGTTTCTACATGTTGTTCTATTCCCAACTGCTGTAAACATTCTACTTACCACAATTAAACATACATTTACCTTTGAAGCACGGTTCTTCAATGAGGTACATGTTCCCTTGGTTAGATCTTAAATAGTTACAATTTAATTCAAATGAAGAGATAAAGAGAGGGAAAAAAATGCTGTCACATTTTATGGCATTGGTGGGGAACAATGAGAATGATAAGTATTGTGCCCTCTATTTTTTCAGTTAAAAGATAAAATAAATATAATAGATTTAGATATGATACATACCACTTGGAACTGCAGCTTCAATGCTTGAAGTCTGCAATTAAAAACACTGGATGAGTAAAAAATGCTTTCTAATTTTTTACACACAAATGCAAAAGTAGATTCTAGTGTTCCACACCTGCAATGGCTTCTCTGGCAGAATTTCAAAGATGTTGAGTGGATCTACCACCACCTCAGAATCATGCTCCACAAGCAAAACCTGAAAAATACAGGGGGAAAAAAAAATCACCTGAAGATGAATTTGAAGTTAGACAAGACAAAAAGTACAAGTTTCTTTACCAGAAAAACAACAAGGGCAGCTCTTAAAACAAACAATTGTGAATTCAAAGAGAAAGATACACTCACCAATGCAGCATCTTCAGAAACTTTTAAAATTCGTGCTGTGCACCAATTCCTCCTTACATGAGACCAGATCACACAATCTGACCCAACAGGCTTCTTCTCTGTCGATCGCCTCAAATAGCCCAAGTCTTTAAAAAATATATTATTATATAAATAAAATATAAAGAATTAAAGAAGGGAGACCTCTTGCATAAAGTGAACAGTATCTTTGAAAGTTGTACCACAAAATGTGTCAAATGCAGACTTACCTGACTGAATGATCTCATATGATGGTGAATCTGGTTCCTCAACAATGCATAATTGAGAATCAGTGTTATTCATCAAGAAGCTTTCTATATTCTCTGAGGAAATACTAGATGTTGCTCCCTCAGATTGCTGTGGCAAAACTACAGGAAAAGGTGTTGGGTCAACATCTGTCTCTTTAGCAAAGGTATGCTGGTTTGTTGTGTCAGATGGACTTGTGGAACCTGAAACTGGTTCATCTTCTGTGATGCATGTGGTATCCAGGTCAACATCTGTCTCTTTAGCAAAGGCATGCTGGTTTGTTGTGTCAGATGGACTTGTGGAACCTGAAACTGGTTCACCTTCTGTGATGCATGTGGTATTCGGGTCAACATCTGTCTCTTTAGCAAAGGTATGCTGGTTTGTTGTGTCAGATGGTCTTGTGGAACCTGAAACTGGTTCATCTTCTGTGATGCATGTGGTATTCGGGTCAACATCTGTCTCTTTAGCAAAGGTATGCTGGTTTGTTGTGTCAGATGGACTTGTGGAACCTGAAACTGGTTCATCTTCTGTGATGCATGTGATATCCAGGTTGCTTTGTGTTTCAGAGGGCACTATACCCCAAGTATCAGATGAGGCAACATTTTCAGTAGTCATCTCAAGTGGGCCATCTCGAGCTTCATTTCCAGCTTCTGTATTTCTCAGCAAATCAAGCTCCTCTTGTTCAGAAAGTTGCATTTCAAGGACTGAGGTGCACGTTTTTTCGTCAACAAGCTCAGTGTCTGCATCAAGGGTAACTTCAGAGTCAATATTAACTTCAGCAGCCACAAAGTCATTGGCAGACACCAGTTCTGCTTCACTTAAGAGTTCATCTGATGGAGTTTCAGGACTTTGACTTTTCCAATAGCTTCTCATGGCATCATTGATGAAAACACCATTACAATCCAGCTTGACGAAGTGTGGTGTTTCAGAGTCCCCCATTTTCTCAACAGTGATATTAAAAAGCTTGTCATTAACTAGATCAAAAAAAGCATCTTCTGCCTTCTTATCCCAGAAACCCTCGGAAAGATCAAAACCTTCAAGCTGGCAGTTAAATGCCTGAGGGGGCACATCTGATAGCTCGGGTGGAAGTGCTTTGATGTCACCCAGATTGACTTTTGATTCATTTCCATAGTCTACGAAGGTAACGGAGAGTGTGTCAAGGTCCCTAGATGTTACTTTAGCTCGATACCACAAATTGTCTTCATTGAAGAGAGCAATGCAAGCACTTTCAGCTGGCACAGAGTCCTCACTCAAAGTTGTATCTGATGCATTACCAGCATTCTGTAAAGCATCTGAAATCTCTTGAAGTTTGTCCATTTCCGCATATTGGCACCAGAAAAGCTGAGGACCCTTGATAAATGAGGGGTATCCATTGATCATTTGACCAGCTGATATGTCAGGGTCCTTGTAACGGGTACAGACCTTGGTATCAGACATCTGATGCTTGACACCTGTAGTCAAAAGCTCAGCTGCTGGTGCAACTTCATGCCTGCAGGTGGATCCCAGCACTACACCATTAACATTGAGTTTCACTTCCCACACGGTCCCTGACATTTTAACGAACGTGCACATGACCTTTTCAATGTTTTGATCAATTACTTGTTTGAAGTTGGGTGCAATTTCTTGGTCTACGCTGTCAACATTTAGTTTATGTACAGAGCAGTGGATGCTGTACCTAGGAAACGAAGCAAATGATTGATCAAGACGACATATTTTTGAGGCAGAAATCACAGCCGTGTTTCCAAAGTCAACAAATTCAACGTCAATTTTGTCAGTGTTTTTTCGTACTGCTGCACGGTACCAAGAGTTATCATCAGGAAACATTGCACAGACCATGTTTCCCTCACGAATCTGACTAGAATCAATGTTTGCGCACCTTGACTGGTCAGCATTCAACTTCTCTACAAGTGAGTAAATGTCATCCTCATCTGATGCAAACTGAACAAAGAAGCTACAAGGGCTATTGCAATGAGAGATGAATACCTCAGCTTCTAGACCAGGTTTTATTAATTTCACTGGGAGCGACGATTCTCTGAGAAGAGCCTGGTACTTTGGTTTAACACCATCAGTTTTGTCAGATGCACATGGTACATCAGCTCTATCATTGGACTTTCTTTGTGGTTCATTTTGCTTCTGAGAATTATGGATTGTCCCAAAATCTCTTGTTGGTTCTGGTCTATCATCTGTATGGAATCCCCACTTGCTTCGTGGCTGTTTTGATTCAACGTTTCCTCGTTGCGCTGCATGACTTTCCCGGGATTGTTGAACTTGGTCTGTGCGATCTCTATTAAAACCACTGGAACTTTCCTTTCTAAGGCTCTCTGCCTGAACTTGTGCACTTCGGTTCTTTGAACTATATCCTTTGAGTGAGCTTGGTTCAATTCTATGGATTTCATTGTGAAACTTCTGTCTGATCAGTGCATTCACTTTAGTTTTTCCCTCATAAAGTTCCACCATAAGCTTTCCTGCAGGTTCTTTTGCCACAATCAAAGCAGTGAAACAATGGCTGTCCGCAAAATTCTGAAACCAATTTTCCACTGCACATGGCACATTTTCTGGCATATCCGACAGCCCACATTCAATTGCCTGCACTGGGACGGACATAATCTCTCCTGCTTCAATTGGAACTGGCAGCAAGTCTGATTTTTCAACTTCCAATGTGTCGCCATAATCCACAAAATTGATCACCACTGACGGTTTTGAAGACTTTATCTGGCCTCTATACCAAAGTCCATCTGTGTATTTTGCAAAGCAAACCGTTCCAAAAGTCTGAGGACACTTGGTTACCTCTAGTTGACGGCATAGGGAATTGACCTTGCCTGCCAGTTTCTCAATCTCATCTGAATTCCTGGCGAGATGGCAAAAGAACTGAGTGACACTTTTCACACAGGTGACACTCACTTCTTCTTCACATCCAGTCTTGACTCCGTGTGTTGAATAATAGTAGGTGTCCAGGCGAAAGGGTGGGAGAGGCGCTCTCTTAGAGGGTGCACGATCAGCTAGACGCCTCTGGACAAGGAGATTGCAAATACTTTGGAATGGGGTCTCCAAGTCCACCACATTGAACACAACTTTCTGGGAATCATACATTACAGCAAAAATGGTGCATTTCAAAGGCACGTTCATGGATGCTGCAGTGTCAACAAACTCTTGAAACTGTAATGTGGCTTCAGGGCTCCAGTCTAAAGCTGAGTGGGAAACCGGGTGGATCAGATTATATAAACTACATCGAAAGGCTTGTCCTTTCATCTTCAAAAATGCTGGACTGATCTTTCGAAGATCTTCAATGGCAACTTTCTTTGTCTGCCCATAGTCAACGAACAAGACCTCAACATGAGGCGTTTGGTGCTTTTGAATGACCAAGGCTCTGTACCATATCCCAGTTTCAGGATGACAAGCAACACAAGCTGCTTCCAAAGGTGGCTGAAATTCACTGTGAGCATAGAAACGCTGAATATCTTGCATTAGCACTTCTAAGCATGCAGCATTTCGTGCTTTTTGACACCAGAAGTCATTTGGACTCTCAATGTAGGATACGGTTACCTCTAGTGAACTTCCAATTGGAAACAAGTATTCCTTGAAAACCGATGCACTTTCCGCCACAGCAGAAGAACTGGAAGGCGTCTGAGGTCGAGTGTCTGTCAGGAATATGCCAGAGGTGTGTGTGGTTTTTAAACCACAAGATCTTACAACAGAATTATCCACAATGCTCTTTTCACTATCTGCAAAATTCGCATTGCACAACAACTTATTTACATCATTTTCTCCATCTAAACTCGGGTCCACTAATTGAACCATGTGAGTGTCTTGATGCTTGTCTTGTACGTGCAATTCAAGTTTTTTGTCTTCGACAAGTTTTGAAAAGAACAACGTAGCCCTCTCGTCCCAGTGTTTCAGTCTGGATTTAATGCCATGGAGGGAGCACTTTAACGCCACAGCTGGCAGCTGCTGGAATCTCAGAGGCAACTGTCGAAGGTTGAAACAATCAACAAGTTCTGTGTTGCCGTAGTCGAGGAAGTAAACTTCTGCTTTCTTGTCAATTACCTTATAGACAGCTGCTCTGTAGAACACACCATCTTGGGCTTTAGCTGCACAGAGGAGACCAACAACAGGCTTTCTTATCAATCCTTCATCGCTTGTTGGATTAATGTACAGATTTCCAAGGTCATTCATTAGCTGGTCGAATTCATCAGCGTAATTCTGAGTTTGAACCCAAAACTTTCCAGGGCTGTCAACGTGCTGCACAACAGCCAGATGTGAAGTGTTAGGTGTGAGACTTTCTGTGAAAAAGACTGGTTTGTTCCCTTTAAGGTCAGAGTAGGTTTCACCAATGTGTGAGATCTCTGTTGTCTCCAAAATCTTGCTGTTTTGAGATGATGGGCTCTTCTGAACAGCGAAATCTGCAAGAGTCATTTCAGAGTCCAGTGAACATTTCTGTTTCAGTTCAAACAATTTGTTGATGTTTGTGTTCTCCTCTCCATAAAGCATGACATAGTGAACACCTTCAGAAAGGCTTTGATACTGAAACTTGGCAATCACTGTGCGGTTGAGCAGGAGTGATTTCAGATAATCAATCTGTGAAGCTGTCCAACCAACACCTCTGTCGACTATTCCATGAAGGGAGCACACGTACGTAACGACAGGCATCCTGAAGAATTCAGAGGGAAGATGCCTGACATTCTCAACTTGTACAAATTGTTTCTTCCCATAATCCACCTGCAAAACCTCAACCACATTGTTTGCAGACATGACCTGCTGCAGAACTGAACGATACCACTTGCCGTCACTTCCTCTTGATGCACACGGTCTGCCCAAATTCTCAGGTCTTGCAAAATTTCTGCCAACTCTTCCCTCATAATGCTGAGTTATCTGTTCGGTTAACTTTTTCAGCTCCTGAGAGAAAACCTTAAGTTGACAGAATATTCGAAATGGACTTGTTACTTCTGTGACCATGACAGTCTCAACAGTATCAGTTTGCAGCTCTGGGTACATGTAGGCCTGCTGCTTCTCCATTTGCTCAATACTCTCAACTGGTTTTGGCCTAATGGAAGAAATTCTCTGAGGTTCTCCAGTTCCATTGTTGGTCTGTAAAGATCTTGCAACAAACTCCTTGAACTGATCACTGTACAATTTCTTTGCAAAGCCCATTTCAAACATCTGTCTGGACAGACAAGGAATGTCAAGAAGGAATGTTCGATGAGGCACAAGAACATCTTGAACCGAAGCATTGACTCTTCGACCACAGAAGGTCTTCATGAACTCGAAGGCCATTGCTGACCATTTATTTTCAGGAGACAGTGGTAACACATTGCCAAGAACACAGAATTCAACTTCAGGGGGAAGATAGAAAAAGTCACTTTTTCCCCAGGCTAGAGTGTTAACAGTAGCACACAGTGTTCGGCCTTCATCAATTAAAAACACGCTGTACTCTTCAGTGTCTCTGGAAACTATACGGGCTCTATACCATGTTTCATACACTTGTACAAGGCACAAGTCACCAGGGTTTCCATCTGATTCACAGAAACTCTCTCTGGGGTATTGTATCTCCTTTTTCAGCTGCTGATAGGCAAATTTCCGGTCTTGGTCAAAATTTCCCCAAAACTCTACAAGAACACATGATGGATTCAGATTAACTCTGGTAATAAGTACAGGTACATTTGAACCTGTTGATGGGAGCCCCGGTATAGAACACATTGTGATTTCCGTCGTGACTCACTCAATCTGGTATTTAGGTGTATCTAGAAAGAGAGGGGAAAAGTGAAATGTATTAATACTAGTCCAAATTCAAGGATCATAACTTATATAAAAAAATTAAAAAAACACATCCCTCTCTTATCTGTTTGGTAACCATGGCCATTTCAGTAAGGACATCATTTAGGACAAAGGCTATTATAGAATGACATTTCTTAAATGCATAATCTTATCTTAACTACAGATAGGAAAAGGGTATTACAGAAGCATCCTAACTCAACAAAGAAATCCTAACTTTAGTCTTAACTTTAACGCACTCCTAACTTTAAAATGATTTGAAAGCCAACTTATAAAAAGCACATAACAATAGCCCTGTCTGAGAATGGTGGCACATTTATTAATGACACAAGATGAAGAACGGTGATGTTTGGTAGAAAGACTTTTTGAAAACCCAAAAGATGTGCTGCACTTTGACAACAAAACGCGTAAATTACGGAGTCACACTAAATATAGTGATAGGTTTGCCTTTCCTACCAAGCTAATCAAAACTTCTCTTTCTGTATCATTTCAATTAAAAGCACATTTATTTTGTTTCTCCATTTTAATCTCTAGCATTTACTTCACATCAGCTGCTTGTGCGTTGTTGTTTGCTTGGTAACAGATCTGGGGCCCATTTCAAAAAGGAGGTTCAACTAACTCCGAGTTGACTCAAGCCGGGGACACACTGAACAACTGTAAGGCCGATTATGAATGTACTGAATTGAGTCAGAGACAGTTGCGTTCAGTAGGTGGGTTTAAAAAAAATTAGGAGTACCTTCTGATCAAGTTATATCAGAAATTAGGGGTGAGCGATATCACGATTTTTGATCATGGACGATTAAGATGTCTCCACGATCCGAATAAATATCGTAGTATCGTGTTACAGTGCATTCTATCAGTTGCCGTTCTGGCGCCTCTGTCTCAACAACGCGACGTACATTCACATCATACGTTAATGCAGAGATACGGGACACTGCAATTCACAAAAGTTCATTATTTGCATGTGTTTTAAAGCCTTGCCGGTTAAAAATTTCATTTGCGTGCTGATGCGCTGTTCTAACGTGCGCTTTTCTGAGCGCATACACCCGAAGCGCAGGAACTAAAAGCCTGTCAAACAGCGCCTGGTTACTGGACTAAGTTATCTTTAGAGTCTCATTGCGCTAATACTGTCAGATACACACAAGGTTTACATAAACACAGTTGGTTATGTCTAAAGTGAAAGCAAAAATTTGAGAGAAAATCTGTTGCATGTCATATACATGTATATTATATGCGCCGCGTAGATATGCAACGATTACAGATTTTCTAAGTACGATTATTGTCTGAGAAATAATCACGGTTTAACGATTATCACGATTATTATGCATCAATTAATTTCACAACACTACTAATGTATAATATCACATGAACACTCAACACTAGATTTTAATGTGTTATTTATTGCTGCCACAACACAGTACAAAATTATAAAATGGCAAACAATAATCAATCTCTTCCTTTGGAATTAAAGAGAAGTGCTTTGTAAACATCCAGCATTTTTCTTTTAAAAATAACAAATTAAGTCAAAGGCTGCAGGACTCTTTGATTGAAATAGATCACAAAATTATTAAGTTTTTAGTTTGTTCTAAATTTATTTTCAACCTGAGGTAGAAAACTTGATAACATGAAAACAATATCTTGTTGGTATTTGACTTAAAAACATAAATAAAGGGATAATAAATCCCAATGAAAATAAGAATAAACAAAGTATTGGGCTGGCTCTATTGAATTAAATGCAAGCTAAATATTAGGCCTATGTATTTCTTTTAAAATAAAACAAATATAGTCCAAATGTTATCCACCAATATTATTGTACTTATTTTAATACTCTTTTTTTAATTATTAATCCAAATTTTACATGTGCCTTTAGAAAATCATCTATTATAATCTCATTATTTTTTTACATTATTACAAATTTAAAATAACTTTTAAATAATTTGATGTTTGTTTGAAGTTTAAGTAAAAATTATAGAAAGTAACTGAGAACATCTCTCATGCAGTGTTATAAATAACTGAAATGCAGTTAATTGGTAGTCCTAGAAGTCTACATGATCTTATGTTAGTGTTTTACACCGGGCATATTAAAACTACAAAGCCTAACATTTACTTAACACAGACAGGAGAAAGCAATAGGTTATTAAGTTAAATGTTCACTGAAACTCTTGAGAGCACATCACATTCGGTTTTCCACAGACTTGCGTAACCAAAACATTCCGCTGTTTTTTCTTGTTTTTTTTACGTTGCACTGAAAGCTGAAAGTTGCACGCCGCGTTCTCCTTTTTCCAAAGCGCTAGGGCGGTTGCGCTCCGGAGGCGTCTGTCGTTGCTCTGTTAGTTCTTGTCACTTGACCTACGGTGCGTTTGCGGCATTCTGAAAAGTAGAGATGTTTTCATCTAGATGCGGCGCGGACGCGCTTGGAAAAAACGAGCGCGTCGCTTCCATTATGAGCGCGCATACCGCGCGCGCCTACATTTGAAATAACGAACTTGAGCGCGCAAAAGACGCAATATGTGAACACGCACTTAAGGTGTTTTTTCGGTGGAAATAGAGCGTCGCTGCTTAGTCCCTCTGCCATAGTGGTTGACGAGCACGGCACTTTAAGCTGGTGCACCGCTGGTGTAACTGTTTTCGTTTTGTGTTAGGTGCAAAAGTTCCGTACTTTGCAGAACACTTGGTGTAGCATAGTCTTTACGATTAATTAACCGTGACGTTTTAAAGCGCGGTTAATTGTGAAATTCGGTAATCGCTGCATCCCTACACACAGTAAACAAAACCTTAACAAATGAACTTTGCAATTTAGACGCGCAAACTGCGTGCCGGTGCGGTGAGACATACATGCTCGGGCAGATTCGGCTTGAAGTCGGTCATCCTCGGACGCGGCGCCGCGCGCGCTGTTAAAAAAGCCGTGCACACAGCCAAGCGAAATGAAGTCTTGCCGGTCTTGCGCACCCAACGCGTCATGTTTCACCTTGCGCTCGTGCGGACGCGTCGAGTATAAACAAGGCTTTACTCCGTGTCAGCGCACGCTCTGATCGGTAAAGGGGGACAGACCTCTCCCGAATCATCTCCAGCACTCAGCCTCCGACGCACCACTAAACTCCGCCTCCGTTTCCCTCGTAAGCTGATATTAGTATTTAAACATTCTCTATGATAAAAAATGTTTGTAAAAAATATTTTAATAGCACGATTTTGCCGGTTATAGAGTTCTAATGACGGTGTTCAACTATAACCGTCGGTCTCACGGTTATATAATAACCGTCACACCCCTACCTGCTCGGTCCTGTTTGTCAGCACATTGTCAGTGTCATATGGCTACGTGAGTTGCACGTATAAAATTAAGTTAACGAACAACCTCGATCCATCAGGAAACGCCATAGGTCGCTGAATTTCACTGCGCTTCATGAAGAGTTTTTCTTTTGCGTGAAGAAGCCGTTCGCCGGAGATGTGTTAAAGATAGCAGTGTGCATTCATGATTATTAGGCTACCGGTGTAATAATCCTCCTGGCTCCGGGTCTGAGTGAGTCATTTACACTCTTACCTTTGTCAGCAGCTGGTCTTAAATTGTCATTAAAGTAAATCAAAGAACAGAGACTCGATCGACACGCGTCCCATTTTCTCTCAAATCTCTACGTTAATTTAAGACTTTATTTAAATCATTTAAGACTGCTCTTATGAGGACACTCGACAAAACTGACATTTTGGCATAATTTGTGTGAGTTATGGTTTGTTCAAGCCCGAGAGAGAACTCGATACTGACGCGCGTCTTTTCTGTGGGTTGGGCGCGCGCGCGTGTGTGTAGGCAGGACAGCGCGGTCTCTTTAGTCTTGTCGCGCTTAATATCATTCACAATAATAAGAGCGTGATCATACAACGGTAGTCAACGGGTGACAGAAAAAAAACGTATACTGCGTAATTGCGTTAAATGTATAAATATATGCCTATATTTTTTTTTTCGGTGTCGCGGTGGACAAGTGATGAAACCGGTGTTGCGCCTGAACACCGGTAAAACCGACTACCGTAGCAAGCCTAACTAGTAAGTAAATCTTTCTAAGTTTTTGTGCATTTTATTTTGTGATTTCACCGGAATGAATAGAGAGTCTCCGCAACGGCGATAGATTGAAGAGCGCGTCCGAGTGACGACTGCGCGCGCGCCACCACAAGAGACACTATGTATCCATGACACTGATAGCAGCGGACAAGAGCGCTCAGATTGAGTTCAAAAACACATCTCTTATTTAAAGGCACACTATGCGAGATTTGTACCTTAATATAACAGCTTCAAAGGGGTATCAGGCCGTGAGTGCAGAGACACTCTGCGTGAGTGGTATTTACGACAGTAACGTTAAATACAAGTACTCAACAGCGACTCTAGGGGTCGCTGTTTGACAAAAACGGAATTCCTGCATAGTGTGCCTTTAACCTAACCTGAACCTAATTTCGCTCCGCCTAGCTTCACTCACATCCATCTGGAACCTCTTCCATTGAGAGTGATTTCTCCAACCAACTTTATGGTTTAGCCAATCAGGACGCAGGGCGGGAGTTTCATAGATGTGACGTAGTGGAGAAGCGACCGTGAGACTGTTTTGATTCAGACAACAATGGCGGCTCGCATCGAGGAAACAAGCGTTAACATTGATGCTGTAAACATTGATTTCATCCGTGTTGTCCAATCTACCTAATATTGTTTCATTAAAAGAACATCAGAGAACGGCTCTTAAGGCTTTTGTTGGTGGAAACGATGTTATATAGATCAGTGCCTTCTCCCGACCGGATTCTTCAGCGTCACGGGTTGGCTTCGGTGTGAGTGGTTGAAATAGCACGTCGATAAAGATGACAGACAAGTGGCTTATCCAATCATATGCAAGGATTTTTGATAAGGCCCAGCCTTCTGAAACGCCATTTCAATGGATCGGTTCCAGATGGATGTGAGTGAAGCTAGGCGGAGCGAAATTCATCTGGCAAGGGCCAGGTTACCTTTAACCCTCTGGGGACCAGAAACGCGCCGACGCGTTTTGCTTGTTTTTTTTCACATAGCAGAAAAATAGACTTAAAGTACTACCATAATTTCTGTTCATATAGAGTTAAGAAATATGAGAAAATAACCTGTTAAATGTCTACTTTTTTATGTGCCCACATACAATCGAAATAAAATATTGTGCTTTTGTAAAATAAAGAAAATACACAGGGTGTGCGTTCTGCCTCTCCGTCACCGTGAACTTTTTTTCTGGAGCACGTTTCTAATCTTCAACACAACTCAGCTAATACTATTCACCCAGCCATAAGCAATATATCTTTTAAATCATTTGAGTTTGTACTTTTAAATGATCCGATTCAAAACTAAAATAAATATTCTCCGTTTATGTAATCTATATTAAAAGAGAGACGTGTCAGCCGTTCTAATTATCTTTCTCACAGCTCATTATCTCTGGTAATGTGACACGCCCACGGAGAGCACGCGCTATTCAAACGCAAATATGTGAAGCAACACATTGAGACGTGTTAACGCCCATAAACTCTGAAAACACTATATTTTTTAGTGTCAGATTTAGTGTCAGATTAATCTACTGTCGTCTTGCACAGCTATATGAGGAACAATCCTGGGACATTTACCACAGAACAAGTGCTGGTTTATTTTCACTTCGAGGATGAGCAACAGATTCAGCTGAGAAGTAAGTGTTTTATGCAAGTGCTTTGTTCTAATCGCGATATAGAATAACGTTAGTGTCTGTAAACGGAAAAATAGCATACTGTTTAAATGTGAATCATGTTTGTGTGTGTGTGTGTGAATGAATTAATGAATGAATGAATGAACGCACAGATACGCACTGTTACAGACTAAATAAAAGACAACATTTCAACTAGTTTTGGATAAAGTTTTTACTCTAAAATAGACATCAAATAAGCTTTTGTTAGGAGTTTCTGCTCATATGTTAAATATATAGTATGTTTTGTCAATAAACTAATCAACTAAGATGTTAAAGTGTTTGTTCTAATGCAAGCTATATCAAAATAATGAATCCTCAACTTTGAAATATGTATGATCAAACTAAGACATTTATGGAAAAAGACAATTTTCTTTTCAAGATGTTTCCAACTCTAACTTTGAACTGAAATAAAACCATGTCTATATGGTGAAGGGTGTGTGATAGAAGTGTCCAGACGTATGCACCCTGTATTTTAAAGAAGAACATTTAATTATTTGCGATACATTATTCATTCACAAAGAATTCAAGGACATTATTCATGTCCCTAAAGGTTGGAGTTTTCCTCATTTTTTTAATTAAGGCATTAAGATTTTTTATTCCTCTTTTTAGTCAACTTTAGCATGGGTGTGTTCACTTATTCTAAGCAGTGTGTGTGTGTTGTAAATAAATCCAAACAATCTAAAAGCCATTCTTTTTTAAATCTCCTCATTCTTTGTGCAAGGCTCCTGATAATGATATGGCCTGATAGCACCTAGTAGGGCCATTATGGGAGGGTCTTTGTCTTTCTCAGGTGTGGAATGCCACACATATTAATGAGATATCACCACTCCTCGCATAAAGCTTTCTCAAACAAAACACATCATTAAAAATGTAAAAGACTTTATTGACTTATCTGAATGAGTAGTCAGGATGATTCTCGCATAGTTTTGGAGCAAATATTCTAGACTAGGCCTATGTGATACAATTTTCAAAAGTCTTGTGAAGAAATAATCAATATGTGTTTTGTGGTCTTATTTCAGCAACTTTCATTTTTATTCTTTTTCAATAACCACGCATAAACATTATTCTCTTAAAAATACAAACATGTACATACATGTTGCTCACATATCATGGTAGCCCCGTTTGTGCTATATAGAGTGAATTTACACCTTTGCCATTAACATGTTTATAAATAACTGAAAAAAGCACAAATGTCAGTGCATGTCAAAACATCCCAAGGGCCCCAAAAACACCCTGGTCCCCAGAGGGTTAAAGAGCATATTGCAGGTAAAGAAAAAAAATGGGGCAACGAGGAACGAAAGGCTTCGCTATGACGACCGGGTACTATTTGTGGCGGTACTTTCTGCAATGGAAAACGGAGCGAAAAGCGAGCCGAGTCGAGCTGGTACTGGTAATGGAAAAGCGCCATTATACTGTACCAATGGCATCAAATAGTGTGATATAGGTAGTCATGCCCTAAATAGAGGCAACTTGTAATTGAAAAACAAAATTACTCCAGAAGCTTCTGTAGCGTATTTATAAGTATATTTTAAAGAAAATCTAGTTCCTACATTATTTTTCTATACATTGACTCGTTGGGTCCTCTAACCTGCAATATGCCCTTTAATAGTGCTGGTGCCACTGGTCTCAAATGTTCATCTGGAGCCCTGAAAAGGCCCGTTACATTTAGTTAAGAGGTCATCCGAACATTGTACATTTTACAATGGTTAAGTCTACTAAACCATTGTAAAACGTACACTGTTCGGATGACCTCACATCAACTAGCAAAATGCAGTAACAGCCATGTGACATTTACTTTATCTACAAGCCTAGAGTAAGTAAATGTCACATGGCTGTTACTGCAAAGTCTCAAAACTAATTTTCTATGGGCAGTCACATCCAACAATTTCAATAAACTAAATACATACGTTAACAGCCTAACGTTACATACATACGTTAGCGGCCTAACGTTACCCCTGTATCTGGCAGCAGCACAGTAATTCAAATTGGCCGTTTAATTTCATGCGGTTCATTTAATAGGCCAAGCAGTTCACTAGGTAAAGGTTTTTGACAACTGATTCTCAAGGTTATGTTAAATACAGCTGTTGGGGACAGAACACAAGACAGTGTAATATTAAAATACAAGTTGGAAGAAGCCTTTAGCTGATGTTTAATCTAAGAACACATCATACTGTATTTTTTTACGGACCACACAACTTGACATTTGAGAGTGAGACAATACATAACCTTCCGCATTAACCCCTCAGTTTAGCTCAAGACACCAGCTGGAAGCTACAGCAATTTAACAGTATAAAAGTAAAGTAACACGAGGAAATTAGAAAATGTGCTTTTGGAAGGAGTCTGTCAGCTGACCTCTCACAGGTGAGATCTGTGAGATTGTAACAGGTGCAGCCTCTGATTGACAGTTACCAAAACAAGAAATAAACAAGTAAAATAAAACGAATTGGCATTCTATATAGGATCATTAATTAAGTGAAAATCAGCATTTTACATCGCTATACGGTAACGTTATCGTCAATAAAGCGTCATGTCTGCAAGAGAGACCGCGAATAAAAAAAAACTGGCAAACGAGTAACTTAACGTTAGCAGCTAGTGCTAGCAGCTAAAGTTAACGTTAACTTAACTGGATTCCGCCTCTAGCATAACAAAAATCAACACTTTTACATTCAAATATAAGTTATGACTTACAAAACTCTCTCCCACAACAAGTGAATTAGATTAAATAACGTTAACTCAATAAGTTTAACCCATCCAGAGTTGTGACTTTCCCCAACGTTGTGCGAATGACTAAAAAAATAGGACAAAATCTCGACAAATGTCGCTCATTTTGATTCGCACACATTTAATATATATACCCAACAAAAAACGAGCACTTATTACGAACACTCACCACTTTAGGGTAGATTCCGCTTTTATTTCACTGTTGACCGACGACATCTTGGCTTCTCATCAACCGTCGAGGCGGATTAAAGGCACGCAAACCGAAAAATGGATTTTCACCACGTGATACTTATATTAGTTATAGCGAACAGCTAAGAATCAGTTCTACAAAAATCAGGGTAAGCGTACTATTTCTACAAACGATGTTCAAACCTTTTTTACAGTCTATGGTTCAAACGGAGAAATTAGGATACGTAACTAGATACGACTGTCGCTTTCGCGCCTCGTTCACGCGCGTTCTGCTGATTGGCTCATTTATGGTCAGACGGAAGTGCATTAAAAACGGAAGCAACAATTGTCCAATAATAATCCAACGCAATATATTGAATAATAATACTGGATTACTAAACAGATAGATTGGTTAATTTCTGACACATTACAATAAAGTATACAAAATATTTTTAAGACGAAAAATAGGGGGCTGCATTAAGGCAGCAAAAATGTAGTTGTTTTTTTACTCAATCTCATCTCTAAAGCAACTTTAATGTTACTGCATAACCAATGCCATATATGCAATTATATTATTTGAATATTTATTTATTTTGCAATTAGAAAAAAAAAAAAAAAATGACAAGCATTATCTTCAAATAAAGTAATATACATTGTGTTGTTATATGCAATATTTTATTGATAATCAGAGAAATGTGAATCCAAGAGTTAATCAATCAAGTCATTATATTCACTTTAATTTGTAAACACTAGATTTTAAACTCTGGAACTGTGAAACTAGTTTAATAAAAATGTGCAAATAAGACACCAGACAGTTATATTAAAAAAGGAAATCACTGATTTAATAAAACAAATGCTGATGAATAAATGCCAATTTATTCGATATCAACAGAACTCACAGAAAAAGAAATGGGGTCAATATATATAACAAGACTTAGTAATGACAAGTAATGAACACTGTTCAACTGACATTTAAAAAAAAAAAACATCATTACTTAATGGGGTGAAGGGAAAAGGAGATGGATGCAAGGTAGGGAAAACAACAATAACAGAAATATAAAAAAAACACGATGTTGACTATTTCGGTGGGTCTGTGTTTATCCCGTACTTCTCTTTGAGAAGTTTCAGCTGCTCCTCCTTTTTCTTTGTGTCCATTTTTTGGAAAGCCTTGAGGGGGGAACAAAGGTAACAACTTTATCACATTCTCATTGCTAATAACATGTCAAATTGTGGCCATTTTCCATAATATCCATCTTTGTGTTGTGTTCTCCAGAAGAAAGATATAGTGTTTGAAACAGGAATGAGGATCTTAATTGTCATTTATGTATCCTCAATGGTGAACTACTAATTTAACAATTATTGAAACATGAACACTTTTTTGAAATTCACACCATCAAGTTGTAAGTGTTGGGTAGTAACTGATTATATCGTAATCTTCTAGATTATGTATTCAGATTCCAAAAATCAAATTAGATTATAATACGTGTTAATTGGAAAATTGAGAGGCCGCACAGCATAAACAAATAGAATTTTTTTTTTGTTAGTATTTTATTTTAATTGTTTTGAATCGTTATAAACAAGTTAGGTCAAAAGTAATCAAGAATATATTACCTAAAAAATGTGAAATGTAATTTACATGTACATTTCGTGTCTATGTCATTTGTATCCAGTAATGGACTACAATTTGTAAGTACCCAGCACTGTGATTGAATCAATGACAAAAACAATTAAACTCACCCTGTTTGCATTATAGTACAATACAACTAAGTATCTGTTGCAGACGTTGAATCCAGAAAGGTGATCACAGGCATTTTTGGCATCAAAGATATCTTCATATACAACATAGGCTGTTCCTCTCGTTTCTGGTGTGTTCCCACTGAAAGAACAAAAGAACAATCAATTTCTGCACTTACAAATATAAACGTGATTAATGACACACAATGAGTAGTTAGTTACTTTATATGAAAGTGTCTGTCAAGCATATCGGTATGCTAATGTAAGAAATAAACTGATACTCACACTCTGATTTGACGAATTGGCCCGTACTTTCCAAAGATGTCATACATCTCCTCTGCAGTGATCTTGTACGGAAGGTTACGTATATACAATATCCTGTTCACCTCTGGAGGTAAACGAATCTGAAACATATCAGCAAAGAGGAACATTGAGATAAACATGAATGGAAAATAATAGTTTCATATCATTAAAACCCAAACCACGCCACCATTTAAAAAATTTGAACACCCTCAAGTGCTTCGAATGACATTTAAGTATGAAACTGAATTTATGAATTCCCACATGGACGTAACATGATAAATATTTTAACCACATTTCTGTACTAAAAGAAGGAATTCGAGTCCTAAATAATATGTCCCAAATATAAATACAAAAGCAGCGAATATATATATATATATATATATATATATATATATATATATATATATATATATATATATATATATATATATATATATATATATATAAAATCATAACACTAGCAATAGCGCTTACTTGAGGTAATTGATCATTTTTATACCAGTTAAAAAACAATAAACATTCATCTTGAACGTGCGGATTAGCCATTTGAGGGCCAACCTATCAACATAACGACCATCTGAACCAAAGCTGGACTTACATTCGCTCGTTTAGCTGCTTGCATCGCCATGGTTGGTTCTGTTTAAAGGAAACAAAAACTCAAACTTTGCGAGAAAAGTCCTCAACTGATCTATAATCTGTAACAGCTAGCACAAGCTAAGTAGCTGCGCACTTTGCTATGTTGGTTTGATCGCGCAGTGTGATGACGTTCTTCCGGGAAGGCTGCGGCCAGGTTCCTTTGAAGTGACGTCAAGCTGCGATTCTACCTTCTTTTAATGTCTATGGATTCTAGTCATGTAACTTTATTATCATATTATTAGATACCAGTTGATCGTTTTGTGCTGCCCCCATTGAAACGGCACTCTTTGGTCTATTACACATATTTTGGTCTATTTGGGTTTGTTTTATTTGGTTTCTATAACGTGAACAAAAAAAAAAACATAACTTTACTACTAGGCTATTTCATTATCTTTTATTGCTCATTAACAAATCACATTCATTGTAGTAAATTCAGTCATCAAAAGCCCTTTAATTGTCTTTGAAAAAGATATCGAGCAATAGGCTATATATCCAAGCTATTAAATCTTTAAACTTTAAAAATCTTCATTTATTTTGTTAAAGAATGCAGTATTTTGTCGAGGTGTAATATTGTGCTTAATTTTTGGTATCTATTTTATCTTATTTAGTTATAGCTTAGGCCTGTTTTAAGTAATTTTTCATTTAAGTATATATTTGCATTTGTTTATTTATACTTTTTGTTTGCCTATACTATTTAGAATGCAAGACTCTGCTGCCATCTAACGGACCTCTTCTGTTATCACAGTTTACTGGATTTGCGGTCCAGAATGATATGGGCCATTTCTGTTATGCAGGAATTTCCATGCCCCCATCATGTAATGGGTGAAATAATAAACTTTTTGAAATTGTATTCATTTTTTTATTATATCAAAATAATAATTTCACTTATTGGTTGTGGTTGATTTGAAATCAGGTCAGCCGGAACCGGGAACACTTCCTGTAACACCTGATGTAGGCCTACTCGCTACTACATCATAAAAGGAATGGCATCTACACTAATTTTAGTCTTTCTGTTTATTCCGAGGTTAACTGTAATCAGCCGGAGCCGGGCCGTATCCAGATCAGTGGCCTGGCGCCTGGACACGACCACCATCCCTGAAGTGCCAGCCTCATCAGCCCTGTGAAGGCCTCATGGACACCTCAACAAACTCGTCTCCATACCGGCGTGATGACTCCGACCTCCAACCAGATGGAATTGGATAAATATTGTGAATATTCCGATCCAATCTGATTTCTGACCTGTAATGCTGCCTGAATCATAATCATACACTGTTCGTTCGTTGGCCAGAGGAGAACTGGCCCCCGACTGAGCCAGGGTTCTCCCAAGGTTTTTTTTCTCCATTCTGTCACCTGATGTAGTTTTGGTTGCCTTTTTCGCCTTTCTTCGCCATTGGCTTTTGGCTTGCGTAGTTGGGGACATTTAATTTAATATTTAACAATATTATTACAACATTATTTTCCTGTTATCTCTGTAAAGCTGCTTTGAAACAATCTGTAGGCTATATAAATAAAGGTGACTTGACTTGATGCTATGTCCAAAGGCACTTCTGACATGAAAAATTGACAATTTGTTAAGAACTATCCCAGGTGTTTTTCAGATTTTTTACTTTCTCTAATTAAAATGATAGCGTTTCATAGATGTTTTCCTTTAAATTACAGCACAAGTACATTCAAAAGTGACTCCAAATTGCATAAAAGTTACTCGTATCAGTCCCGATATCTGCTGATTAAAGGGATAGTTCACCCAAAAATGAAAATTCGGTTAGTTACTCACCCTCAAGTTGTTCCAAACCTGTGCTAATTTCTTTCTTCTGCTGAACACACACAAAAAAAGAAGATATTTTGAAGAAAGTTGGTAACCAAATTGATAATTGACTTCCTTCCATAGCTTTTTTTCCTCCATACTATGGAAGTCAATGGGGCCATCAACTGTTTGGTTACCAACTATCTTCAAAATATATTATTTTGTGTTCAGCAGAAGAAAGAAAGAAAGTCATACAGGTTTGGAACAACTTGAGAGTGAGTAAATGATGACAGAATTTTCATTTTTGGGTGATCTATCCCTTGAACAAATTATATGGTAAGTGCAGGTGAGGTAATACATTTCAGTATCTACATATTGACAACCAAACCCCTTTCAAATCAAACCCAGACATTGAGAAAATATCCCATATACTCTTTTATTAGTTTAAACCACAACACAAGGAGTTAGTGCAGCCATGGCGTCAGGGGCACAATACATGCTACATGTACAAAATAACTTTTAAATTGGAAAAGTTTGCCATTGCATGAATTTGGTGCGGTGCCTACGTAGGTAAACATTACAATGACAAGGGTTATGCTTGTGTAAAGCTCTTGACACTGGCAGAATGTACTTTCAAATGGAGCACAGAAATGTGCGTATTTAGAAATCGAGTCAGTGCTCAAAATGTGCAGTTGGTGCAAATGCCTGGATTTAAAAAGTAATAACATTAGGGTTGACCTTTAAAACCCTCAGTTACGAGTTCTCCCTTAAGAGCAGCGTGTAAAAAGTATGATTAAATACAATCTTGGACGGTTTCAGCTGTCAAGAACGAGTTGGGAGTTCCAACAGATACATGTTTGAGGCAAAATCATCTTTAAACCTAATGACACAACTCAAAAATGATCTTCACGAATTCATTCCACGCCTGGGCCCCACATTAATCTGCACTCTGATATGCAATTTATTTCATTTGATCACATTCTGAAGTGCATTCTGAAAATGCACAGCTTGTAGGTTTAATAATGGGGATATTTTTGATGGCATAATATTTCGACCATAAGAATAAATGCTTGGTCTCAGTGGTGGAACTGTTCTCACTGACTACATTCGGCCACATTTAACCCCCCTCACATGTGATGTACATAAAAGGTGTAGTATACTAGCCTTTTCCCATCAATGCATCACAAATGCATGTCTAGTGCACCACATTTGAAGATTATCCATCTAATTCTATGCCACAACTCAAATTTCAATAGCTGTTTTTTTTTTTCTTTTAAATAAGGCTCGTTATCATTCTTTATGCAGGATGCAAATGAGGGAAGTATTCTTAAGGCAAAACTAATGGCATGCAAAGAAACTACATTTATATTCACCAACAGTACAAGCGCATTTGAAGGGAAAAGTTCGATGGACATGAGCTTATCTTTTTGTCCATCCAGACGAGTGGGTAAATCCGTAATAGTTTAAGTTTAATAGTTTAAGCCCTTTTGGGGGGTTTTGCCTCTTCCTGCACATCATATAAATTGATAATATTGGTCTTATTTTGTTTATATATTTGATGTTTTGTTTATTATTATTATTGTCATTTGTATGTAATTTTAAAGGTGCAAAATATAAATAAAAAAATAAATAAAAAATAGTTACGATTACCATAAGAATCAGTTCGGTTGACATTATGCAGTATATGGTACACATAGCTAGCATCGGTACAATAAATAGTAGCTTGATTTAATACAGCACATCAATGATGCACAAGCTCCAGTGGATTCAGAAGGTACTTTGCACACTCTTCACATATTGGCAGTTAATTTTGACAACTTAATATGTATGTATATTAATATTCATATAATTCTATTTGTGCATGGCATGGTCTGTTTGTGTGTATGAATTTGCATTGTATGTGTGTGAGAGAGTATTTGTGTGTTGGTGTGTATGTGAAATTTGTTAGCAAAGAACATTCTCATGCAAACAAGTGTTTCAAACACAGGAAGCGGATTCATTGAAAGGTAGTCCAAGCAACTTTTTTTATCAGTGGAAATAGCTGCAAACTGAATGGAACATTAATCATTTGTGCAGTCCCTGGCTCTTTTCCGAGACGCTCATTTTTGCAGGTCACACTGCAGCAGTAATACAATGGAGGGGTCACCCTTTGCTGCTTCTTTAAACTCTTCCAATGAGATCTGGTCGTCGTTGTTCTTATCCATCTTGCTGAAGATTTTGTCGACCCGTTGCTCGGGCGTCAGGCCGTCCTCGTTCATCTTCATCATGATAACAGTCCCCACCATCTTATAGATTGCCTTGAAATGAGAAAAGCAGAACAATTTAGATTCAAATCTTTTGGAAAGTCAGAGTCAATCCCCCTCCATTTCCTGTCCACTCTCTCTCTCTCTCTCTCTCTCTCTCTCTGACCATGAGGGGGCGACTCACTCCACAGAACAGTGGTCCTCAAACTTTTTGACTCCTAAGCTGCATCCGAAATAACTTCCCTACTATATAGTAGGTGGAAAACAGTACGAGACAAAAGAAGTGTGTCCGAATTCACAGTACTCATAAAAGAGTTGGCAAAAAGTACCCTGATGACCCACTTTCGCTGAGATTCTGAAGTGTGCATTCGATGGACACTTTACTATCCCATGAGGCCAGGGGAGAGGATTTGTGAATGGCAGTGAAGCGACGTAACTGACACTGGTAGGTCACATGATAATGACAACATGGCGAATATAGTATGTCCAGATTACATTCATGCAACACACATTTATACTATATAGAATAGAATTGCGGTTTATTCAAAATAAGTACCTACTCAAGAGAGTATGCGACTTCGGACGCAGCCCTAGGCTCCTCATTGTCCACAACAATATTTGAAAGCCCCATGTATTTTCCAGTTGTTTATGATTTTCTGGATAAGAATTAAGGATAAGAATTTAAGAAATATTTTTACCTACAATTTCTACCCTAAAAATATGAACCTTTTGGCCGATAGCCGATAATTCTTTATATTTGAAAGCCGATAACCAATATATTGGCCCGAGAAACCTAAATCCGAATTTTTATATAATTTTTGAGAGCCTGATTACAAATACAAAAGTCTCACCACCATTAAAAGCAATGTCCCAAGCACACAATTCAAATGTTCTCATTATAATTATATGTAGTCTATATTACATACTTGTGTTGCACATGTTGCACTTAACTGTATTTTCCTTTTTTGAAGTGATTCCAATTATATTTCAAGCAATTTAAAACCATCATGGCGAACAGTGCACATCTGAAGTGTCTCAGCTGATGGACATAATCCATTATTTATCAGCTTTAATATATTGGCACATTTTCTTATCGGGCAGATATCGCTAGGATTAAAAATGAACATATATCAGCCAATACCAATATGGTGGCCGATATATCGTGCATTCGTAATTATATTTCAGAGCGTGGAATAAATAGACATAGAACAATGGTTTCTAAGCCAAAATGAGCATTAAAATATACCGAAACAATTTAAAATCAAGACATGTATTTGAAATAACCCCCTCAACAAATGTTTTTCTTTTTTTTTCTTTGAATAACCAAGATTCCCACAGTCTTGAAAAACCTGGATATATGAGGTAGTCTAATTTTAAAAGTGTGAAATCCATTCTCATGGTCCATTTCTAGACTTGGAAAAATCATGTAAATGATCTAAATGTTTTTATACATTTTTATAAAGAATATACATTTTTCTAGTTATGCCAAGCTCCTAAATATTTTATTCGATAGAAATTGTGAGTAAAACATATTTAAAAAAATCTTAAATCCTTATCCAGTAAAGCATGAAAACTGTAGAGGTCAGTGGGTCTTGAAAAATGGTGTGGACAGTTGGGGCCTTGGGGTTGACAATCACTGATATAAAATAAAACAGCTTTTCTTATGTGGCTTAAATTTTAATTTAGTTTTGATTATCTTTCATTGCTTTACGCAAGTAAACAGAAGAACAGACTGAATCGAGTACCTCAATGATCTCAAGCATCTCAACTCGTGTGATTTTGCCGTCTCCATCCAGGTCGTACATGTTAAAGGCCCAGTTGAGTTTCTGTTCGAAGCTGCCTCGTGATGTGATGGACAGGGCACAGATGAACTCTCTGAAGTCGATGGTGCCGTCTCCATTCTTGTCGAAGGTCCTGAAAGCGTGCTGCGCAAACTTTGAGGCATCACCATAAGGAAAAAACTACAAAAGAGGAAAGACAATACAATTAATCAATGTATAATCAATATACTTAGATTACCAATCAAAACAATATGTTTTTTTTTTTTTTCTGTCTTAAAATTCACTTTCTATCTCGATAGTCTTTTGAAAAATGCCTTTAAAATAACAAAAGCCTGGATTAAAATCAATCATTTTAAGCAACCCCTTAAGACAAGTAAGATAACTCTCAATTCTAACTCTGAAAGTCCCTGAACCTGAGCAAAGCAGATTCCTGAAAGCAGGGGCGGATCTACAGGGGGGCAAGGGGGGGCAGGTGCCCCCCCACTCTAGAGCCTTGCCCCCCCAGCTGCCCCCCTAACTTTAGTAAAACTATAGGCTACTTGTAAAAACAACCCGCAAGCTTCTCAAAACAGTGAACTAAACGATACATTTAGCAAAAGTGAAAAATTTAATTTTTATTAAAGCCCCTCCCCCCTGCCCCTCAAATAGTACGTCCCTGATTCAAAAGTGCAGAGCCAGAGCGGCGTTCGCGCTCAGTCTGGTTTACACACACAGCGAGTCTGTTGCGGTGCGCTGGCCCTGCAACCCGACTGGAGAGACTGAGCTGCCCCCGAGCCTCTGAAGGTGAAGTGAGTTTCCCCCAGGTGTAGTTAAACACACGTTTAACTTAAAGTTACATTTGTAATGAATTTATTGTATGCTAAAGACGATTCAGTATCAGCAAAAACAGCGAGTCTGTTACGTTAGCCAAAATCAGCGGTCAAATCGCTTCCTCGTGATTTGTAAGAGCACTCTTCCCTTTGATTAGCCTAATTTTGATTTTAGTAAAGACAAGAACAGCTTAATAAAAAATATAAATTGTTTGTATCCATAACGTTTACTGATGGTCGCCGTTACGCCGACGTTACGTTACAACACACAATACAGTGCCAGTTAGGAGATCGATCATTTGATTAGCTAAGCAAATCCAATTCCTCTCAGGTATCACAGCAATGAAACCAGTCTTACAACTGGAGAAATAACAAATACAATTAGGATTATTATATTAAGTACTCTAAACATAACTGGTCTGTGTGTATGTGATAAATCTGTCTGATTTTATATTTGTTATATAGGCTACTTATTAGCTACATGGCCCTACAGTGTAATGTAATACAAGGATAACCAGAGGTTTTCACATATTGACTTTTGCAGGCAAGAGTAGTTGAAGAAAGTAGCTGGAGCCTAACCATTAAAAGTCCTTGGAGACAATTATTGGTCTTTTTTATATTTTCATTTTGCTTTTTATACTTGGTAACACTTTACTTGAAGGGGTGTGCATAAGACTGACATGACACCTTCATAATCATGACATGACACATGGCATGAATGTGAAGTAGGGTTTATGCATGTTTATAACAACTGTCATTAAGTGTCTTTCGCTCAATAATCACATTTTGAATGCAAATATGACATTGTTTAAGATGTCTTTGTAATGACATCTTGACATAAACCCATACATCATAACCTGTCAGTGTCTTTGTCATGACAACTTGACATTAAATTAAGTTAAACTGTCATGTTGGTTTTGACACTGGCTGTCATGAGGCCATTATAACTGTGTCATGAATATTTTTTGTGACCTCAACTACAGTGGTACAAATTGAATTTGTCATTAAAAAGTTATAATGGCTTCATGACAGCCAATGTCAAAACCAACCACCTGACAGTTTAATGTAATGTTAACCCATAAAGTGGTTTCTTAAGTTTGATAATTAATCTGCTATGTCTTGTTTATGACAGGTTGTGTTGTCTTAGTAATGTCAAGTTGTCATGACAAAGACACTGACAGGTTATGATGTATAGGTTTATGTCAAGGTGTCATAACAAAGACATCTCAAACAATGTCATATTTGCATTAAAAATGTCATAATTGAGCGAATGACACTTAATGACAGTTGTTATAAACATGCATAAAACTTCCTTCATATTCATAACATGTGCCATGTCATGATTATGAAGGTGTCATGTTAGTCTTATGCACGCCCCTTCAAGTAAAGTGTTACCCTAAAAACCTTTGTAGTGTGTAAGGGCATGATTAAACTAACTACTGTGTTTTTGTGTTTGTAAGGGATTCCCACCGTCTACCCCTGCCACCCTGCCAAGACCTCTTGCCACCCCTTTGCCCCCCCATGTAAAATTTTCTAGATCCGCCACTGCCTGAAAGTCTTATTTGGGATCGGATAAATTTTATATCCACAAAAATATTAAGCAGCACAACTGTTTTCAACATTGATAATATAATAAGAAATGTTTCTTGAGCACCAAATCAGCATATTAGAATTATTTCTGAAGGATCATGCAGAAATTCAGCTTTGTCATCACTGAAATAAATAACATTTGTAAAAAATATATTCAAATAGAAAACAGTTATTCTAAACTGAATTATTATTTTTTGACTTTTTCTGTATTTTCGACCAAATAAATCCAGCCTTGGTGAGCATAAGATACTTCTTTCAAAAACATTAAAAGATCCTTCCGACCCCACATTTTGAACGGTAGCGTATGTCCTTTAAATTACAGAAGTAAATATATTTTTTAAAAGCAGCAGAGTCGAAAAGTTACTGAATCACAGGAATGACCTCAATACTGTTATTTCTGTTGGTCAGAAATGCTCATCTTTATATTTTCTCCTATTAAAAAACTGCTTCATTTTAGTGCTGCGGGACTTTAACTGTCATTTTGTTGCATCAAGCTGAAACAACAGGAACTTCACAGATAGCACTATGTATGCAGGAGATCTTAGTGGTAGGTGGGTGAGTGTATGTGTACAGTATGTGTGTTAACTAAGGCCATCAATGCCCAGCGCAGTGCTTGCCTCATTGCAGAAGAGGCCTGCAATAAGGACGTGAGCTGTGCAGTCGGTACAAAAGCAGCACACAGCTCCTCTTTGAAGAAGGGCATCATTCCCCTTCTAATATTGTTACCCTCTCAGTGACTGAGGGCAAAAATTACATTCACCCGTTCCCAGCCAAAGCACTATTTGTCACCTATAGTGCCCAAACCACCACTGATTTCCAATGTAATGAGCGACAAGGGGAGATAAAGTGTTTTCATGCTGGCGCCAAGATGCAGACAATCATATAAAGTTAAGATTTATAGGCACCACTGATAACAAATATATGATGTTTTCTAACCCGAAAGGGAAATGCAAATATACATTATGGTCTTTTTTGAGCAAATGCAATAGGTGAGAATTGCAAGTGTATCACTCCATATTTGAGAAGTGTAAATGTTTTTTTTTAAACGTTACCTAACCTCACATTTGAGTTATTTGCCTGCTAAATATTAAACGATGGAATCACTGGAGTGTGATGGCAGGGCTGAACTAAGCTAATAATAAATTCTGAGCACTTAGGAACAGATGCCATGCTCAAAGACTGGGAAATGAGATTCTCATATTTTGCACCAAATGGGAGAAAAGTGTGTGTGATTGTGTACCAAATGTGCCCGCAACAGCAAAACTTGAAATTGCCTACATTGTGGGGAGCTGCCAATGGTCCTCTTGAGGAAAATGGCTTGATAAATAGCCTACACTAAATAATGTCTTTATGAAAATATGAATAATATTTTTTTAAATTAAAAAAACACTGACCTAAAAATTTAAGCACTGACAAAAATAGTTAAGTAAACTATATTTTTTGCAGTCAAACCCAAACTAAAATTCTAGCATGCGATACAATGTTTCTGATACACTTATACTTGAACACAAGACACCAACACACAAACCGCAGTGGTCTTTGATTTCATCAGAAAGAAAGAAAAATCAAGTGATCCAACACAGCGTCACACTGTGAAGATGCAGCATGCCCACATATATCAAAGAGTTTACAGTGTCTAACTCCTCCAGAAAGCAGAAGGCCTCTGGGAAAGTACAGGTCTGGTCATAAGCCCCTGCCAGACTGGCACTGTGTGGAGAAGAGAGAGCTGAGACAGGAAGTAGTGCACACTGTGATGTACCCTGCACACATGCAAAATGATTCTCTCATGGGGCTGGCCCTTCTGCTCCATATGGCCTTGTCCTTCACCAAAGTAGAGGAGAGCAAAAGAAAACAAACAAAGTGCAAGTCATGAAGAACTGGAGAGCTGCTACTGGGCTGTGCGACCCCCTACATACGTTTTTCCGTGCGAATCTGGCAGGTTATGAAATGTTTTATGTAAAACAGAGATTTTTTTATATAACTATCTAGGGCAAGGCTGTGTGAAATTCTCGAATTTCACATCACATTAATATTCTTCTTTTCACTTTGTTTTGGATCCAAGCACAATCCGAATGTAGAAATAGATCTCCGAATGTATATAAGATCTGTCAGGTGATGTTGTGTTGTTATCACATGAGAATGCCACCTGATCAAGATCCAAGTATCTGTTATTCTCTGATGAGTACATAAAGGAGATCATTTGCTATATTCAAGACAATGCAGAATAACATACCAGCTTACTTGTGTTTTTATAATGTCATTTTATAGTAGATTGGTTGTGTTAAAGGAAACTAAAATTACAATTATGCCATCATTTACTCGCTCTAATGTCCTTGCCTGTATTGTTTTATTTCTTCTGTGAAACAAAAGGAAATTTTCAACAGGCTGTCCATATAAGAAAAGTGGATGGTATTCTAGTTGCCAAGTTCCAAAATGGACCATAAAAGTAAAAATAAATACAATTTGTGTGTAATATACACATACTATTTAAAAGTTTGAGGACAGTAAGAGTAAGAAATTACTATTTTTATTCAACAAGGGTGCTTTAAGTTGATAAAAAAGTGTACAAAATATTATTTTAAATAAATGTTTTTATTTAAACTCAAATAATCCAAAAATAAATTAAGCAGCACAGCCGTTTGACCATTTGTATTGTTAATATTAAAATGTTCCTTGAGCACCAAATCAACATATTAAAATGATTTCTGAAGAATCATGTGATTCTGAAGACTAGACTAATGGCTGGTAAAAATTAAGCTTTGCACAGACAGGAGTTACATT